TTGTGTCATGAGCATGCAAGAGATCTGTCTGCATAATGTGCCACAGATGAAGGGACTGATATTGCCAGTCTTCGAGAGCATCGTTGAGTTCAAGGTGGATGATATCATCCAGCCATACCGTGGGATATCTGTTTCGATAGGTTTCTCCCCCCTTCTATTTTCCTATATCAGAGTCCGTTTATGTTTCACAAATGGCTAGGTGTTAGTTTTGTTTCTCACAAGGTGTCAGCCAGGCAATAGAAGTTATTTTATAGAAACACGCACGCGGTGAAAAAGGGGCTGATTCGCTCTCAATAGGAGTTCTGTAAAAATTTTCCGATAAACGTCTTTTATTTTGTGATTTGACAAGAAGAAGGACATTGAATAATAAATAAAGAAATAATAATCCAGGTATATTTTTGTGTTGAAGCTCTCTCTGTGGATAGTTTTAAGGAAAAGTAATGGGTTGCCGTGACGAACCTCCTCATAGAGAGGCGATTGGGAAACTTGTTTTCCGCCCTGGGTTCGGATTCTTCCATCGATCACCACCAGTTCCATCATCCACCTCTCATTAATTATTTATTAGTTAGTTCTTAGCTTCCCCTTCACTCGACGGCCACTTGCAAGTCTACCTCCGCACTCTCCCTGGCCTGGGCTGTCCGTTAATCCCACCACGATTTAACGTAATTCACCACCAACCCGGCCGCACCGAGTCCGTCAACTTCCCAACCCAAATTTTGACATCTCAAATTAAGCAACAATCGCTAGGGATTATATATAGAAATTATATAGCATATGCTCTTGCACCTGTGAGCAACCAGGAGCTCTATGCCCTGTACTACCGCATCGACTTCAGTGTGCTGGTGCTTATTTTCCAGTCCTCAGATTTTGGAATCCTCAATCCCGCTCTCAATGAGCTGATTGAGCTCCTGAGCTCCGGCAGCCCTAAGCTAATCATTCTTGAGCGGTTAGAATTTCTTCTTCAGCTATAATGTGTACAATAGTTTATCCTCTTTTGCTCCTGTCTAACATTGGAAGCTTTTAGCTTTATATTCTCTTTTGTTCATGGTAACGCTATGCTTAAACAGTTGATATTTCAAAACTAGTTAGTTGATTGAGCACTTTTACTAAAGAATATATTTATATAATGTTTAATTTTGCTACTTTGGTTATGTCAATTAAATTATATAAAAGTTTTAAAAATTGAAAAGAACAAAGATTTAGTAAAATTTAAACTATATAATAGTTAAATAAAAATATTTTATTATATTATTTTTTTTTTTAAATAATAAAAATAATAGCATAAATAGTTAGAGTCTCATTATAAACATAGTCCCATCAAAGTTGTTGATATCTTCATATTGAATCTTATACCATGCAAGTCATCATTTATTATATCAAATTATTTATAGATATTCATAGTATTCTTACATTTAACTTGTTTATAATTGTTATATTCTGCATATCAGCTTTGCGGCTCGATACAATGTCTTACTAGATTTGAAACAGCTCTTGTTAACACAGAGAGCAGAGAAAATAAAATCTTATACAGTAAGAAATTAATTCATCATTTCCTTTTTAAAAAGCAGCTGGTCTAAAGGGTAATTCTCATTTGACCAAACTCCGCACTCATTTAAACAAGAATTTCCTCTTCAACTTTAGTCAATCAGTGTGAATTTGTGCCTGTATGTGAGGAATGATCATTTATAACAGGAAAGCATGAAATAACTAACTATCATACAGCCTTGCTGCTTCACAAATAGAGATAATTTCTTTATTTTTCAAAGCGGTATGCATTTTCAGTCAGTCATCCTTCTCTCTTTCTAGAGTTTCTTTTATTTGTATTGCGAAATTGTTGGCATTCTGACGCGTCTCAAAGCAGGTAAGTTGGTAGATTTGTTCCGCGTTTCAAGTTGTGGCCGACCCGGTTTGATGGCCGGACTCGGCTGTGAATTACATTAGTTAGTTAGTTAGTTATTCAGATCTTAGTTAACTAACTGGTGTTACTCTTTGGGGGGTTGGTTGGTAACTGAGATCACCGGATTCCATCATCCGCAAACAGCCCGCACGCGACTCGGAACCTGAACCTGATTTTTCTCCTCCCATCTTCAGACCCGTAAATCCCATCCATAGCGCTCCACCATCAAACCCCCCTCATCCTCTCATCCTCTCATATTTTAATACCTGTTCTCCCCAACATCCCCCATGTCGGTGTACCGTCATGGCCTTCAACTTCAACTGGTCGCCGCTAATGGCAGACGCAGGCTTCTACACCAGAGCCCAAGATCTGCTCACTGCGGCCCTGAACAAGTCTCCTAAACCACCCATCATCGTCGACGATATCGTCGTCACTGAATTAAATCTGGGCTCTAACCCGCCCGAGCTGGAGATTCTGGAAATCGGAGATCTGGCTGAGGATCGATTTCGTGGGATTTTCAAAATGTCGTATGCTGGGGACGCGGTTCTTACACTTAAGACTTGTGTGCAGGCGAATCCCTTGAATACGTATCTTCTCACGAGGCATTCATTTACGTCTCCTCAACCTCTTGCTGCTGCGTGAGTCTTATGTTTTAATCTTTTTGTTTGGTGGTTGTTGGAAACTATACAAGTTTGCTAACAATAATTTGGTTGAAAGAACCGGCTTGACCATCCCTCTCCAAATCACCCTCTCTGATATAAAGCTTTCCGGCTTCGTTATCCTCGTCTTCTCAAAACAAAAAGGCATCACCGTTGTCTTTCGAAACGACCCCCTTGAATCCCTGAAGGTCTCATCGACCTTCGACTCCATCCCTTTTGTCCGCGACTATCTCCAGAAAGAAATCGAAGGCCAGCTACGAATCCTTTTCATGGACGAGCTTCCCGCAATTATACATAGGCTCTCCTTGCGCCTGTGGAGCACGGAATACAGCGAACTTGAAACCACCTGTGCCCAAGTCACAAACCCATCCCTCGAAGGACCAGGCCAGGACCCGTTCCTAAACCCTCCCCAGGACCCTGTCGACTCCTTCGGAAACGTTCTCTCCACCTCCGAAATAGCCTCACTATCTCTTGACTCTGGCGTCGAGATGCACTCCCTCTTCTCTCAAAAGAATGCCCTCCGTATAGCCGCCTTGACGGATTCCCAACGTACGCTTTCCCTCTTCACCCCATCCATTCGCGAAGTCGTTTTTCGAGCATGGACCGGTTCAATAGAGCAGGCAGATGGGCCAAGCGGACTCGTCTCTCCCATGAGTCCACCCTTATCCAGAACGGAATCGCACATAACGGTCGCAAGCGCACCGCTCTCCTCGCAAGACACTGCAAGCGTGACATCCTCACAAAGCCGCCCCGGCCTCCCATCATCCGGCTATAGCGGCTACGGCCTCAGTCTAGGTGCAGCACGCCATTCCAAAGCGCACGCCCGCAAACGCAAGAAGAGAGTCATTGACCTGCGCCCACACCGTAAACCCACAGATGACATGGCGAGCATCAGTGGTGAAAGCTCATGTACAGACTCGACGATTACTACGACAACCAAGAGTGCCGCATCTGTATACTCCAGCTCTATCATCCCGGAAGAGAATAACGATGATGATCCTGTCACACCACCCGTGTCGCCGGTGCGCAACTCGACCATTCGCCGTCGACAAACGCTCCGTGACCGCATCGTCGACCGTGATGATGCCGAAAGAACAAACATTCGAAGACCACCCATCCCCGCGGAATTCGGCCATGAATTTCCCCTCCGCACCACGCAACCTCTGCCATCAAACGAAATAGAGAGAAACGTGACATCGTCAAACCCCAAACCCGAAGACTCGCATCACTTCCAACCACCACGACAAGATGCAGCACCCATCCGAAACATTCCCTCAGCTCCTTTGGGTCCGCCCGCTCCATCTCCAATCCCAGCATCTGCATCTGCATCTGGCTACCCGCCCGAAAAACCTACATATACACAGTCCTGTCCCCCCTCGTTCATGGAAGTAGCACACAACGGTTCCATCCTCGAGCAGGCATGGATGATGAAAATGGCCAGCGAAATCGCGCGAAGGATCCAGGATGAAAACTCCTCGGGGATGAGTAGTTATGTAGGTAGTGGCAGCGGTAGCGGCGGGTTTTGGGACCGATCGCATACGCCGCCGCCAGCTTACCGGCATTGATCTTTGGGTTTTTTAATTTTTTTATTTTTATTTTTATTTTTAATTTTTTAATTTTATTTTATTTTTAATTTTATTTTGTTTTCTCGCACAATTTACTACAGAACGTACGGGACGAGGACTGTCTATGGGGGCCTTGACGATCGATACGACGTGTATATAAATGTTTTTCTTTTTCTATTTCTTTTTGGTGTCTCATACGCCCCATTTTTCACCCTTTAATGTAATTTATTATCTCTCTTCGCGTTTTATACCAATGAGGAGTTTGGGACACTTCTGAATAACGTCCTTTCTCTCTCTCTCTCTCTCTCTCTCTCTCTTTTCCTTTTTCTTTTTTCCTTATTTTTACTTTATTTTTTCCCCGGAAAGGTATTTTATTAATAGCACGGGCAGAAACCAGCAGGACCGGGAGGGTTGTGGAATAGAGTGGGATAGGATTGGATAAAAACGAGGACTAAGGGTCAAGGGCCAGCCGGCTGCTGGTATGTATATATTGGTTCTATAATCGAACGGCACGCACTCTCAACTCCTTTCACATATCTAGATGTATCTATATCTATCAACTATCGTTGCATGCAATCGCTTCATATATGCGTATAGCTTCCTTTCCTGATCCTCTGATTTATCATAATTCAGGTACTTGACCTTGTTCAAAAATTAATTTACATGTCGCATCAATCAGACCGAGCTCATACGGGAACAATTTTCGATTCCATTCTAGAAGCGTGAAGTGGGCATAAATCTGCCGAGCAACCACCACTAGCTGAACTAACAGCTCTAGGAAACCCCGAATCTCACCCCCTCACAACTCATTCACCAAACAACCTCCCCAAACGGCCACGGCACGGAATTCTGAGGGTGCAAGGAGAACCAAACTACACAATGTCTGGTCTTCTTCAGAACCTGTTCAAGGGAAAAGCGCAGCCTCCTCCAGCCAGCGGGGATGATGTAGGTACGTTTGCTGAACCCGGAGTCCCAGCCCCCTCACAACACAAACCCTACTCGATAAACACCTCCCCTCCCCCCCCCCCCCCCCCCCCCCCAAACACAATTGCAACCCAATTGCACTCGCAACACTAACCCTCCTCACCCCCCAAAATCCCCAGACTTCGCCGACTTCGCCTCAAACATCCCCGAGCCACCGCCTGCAGCAGCCCACGGCCCACCCACGACCACCGCCACCACCTTCGCCGCCGGAACTCCGCTCACCAGCACCCTCCAGCCACCAACCGCCGCCCGCCCCGTGTTATACACAGCATGGTACCGCGTCTGGGAACGCGTCGAGCCCAGCGACTTCATCCAGGAGGCCTTCGTGATCCCCTTCATCATCCTCCTGTTGTGCGTGCACGTATGGGGCATGGGTAAGAACAGGCGCAAGGCCAAGCAGTGGGCGCAGGCGCATCTGCCCACGCTCGAGAGCGAATTTGCTGTCGTGGGGTATGATGGGCGTCCACGGGCGCGGAAGGCGCCGTCCGCTGACGCTGTGCAGGCGGAGGGGCTGAGAAAAGTGGCTGCGGACGCTGATGATGATGATACTGCTGCTGCTGCTGCTGCTGGTGTTGACAGGGTGGACGTGCCGGAGTCGATGTTGAAGGAGAAGACTGGGACGGAGTTCACGATGTATGCGACTGGGCGGCAGAATGTGGCTTTCCTGGATGTCTCGATTAGGTTGCTCAGATGGTATAATCCGCTCTACATGCTTGGTGATCAGGTCGTTAGTTTGTTTTTTGACTCGTGGGCGGCGCCTGTGGAGCAGGTGGAGTGCGTTGCGTATGCGTTTGATGGGAAGGAGAAGGATCTTGTTCCTGCGCCGTCTGCTGTGGAGAGCGAGATGATTGAGCAGCGGTCTAAGGGGGGAAGTAATAGTTCGGCCTATGACGGGTTTGTGTTTGCGATTGTGCATAAAAATTGCATGCGCAGGCTACGTGAGGATCGATATGACATCTCCCTAACGTTTACAAAGGATATTTCGAAGTTACCGGATTGGGCGACTGTTATGAGCGAGAGTGCGGAGATTACCGAGATGATGCTTACGGCTGAGCTTGTCGAGGCTGTTGCGAGGGCTGGAGATGATTTTGAGTATTTGATCATTACGGATCAGCCGCTGGATAAGCCTACAAAGTGAGTATTTACAACACCACCACCACCACCACAACAACAACAACAACAAAAACAACGACAAATACATGTAAAATCCCATTGTAAACGCTGACACATAACAAAGAATCGACGAAACCACCCCTCGCAAACGCATCAACCTCTCACTCCGCCTCCCCAAATCCTCCAACTACACCCACACCCTCCCCCTCTTCACCCAATTCCTCCGCCTGACTGACCGCCTCGTCTCCGTTGCCCACTTCCGCGCCGAGGTCAGTCGCAAGCTGCGCAATACGCGCGAGGAAGAGATTCGTAAGCTCCGCCGTGCTTATGAGGAGGAGAAGGCTGAGGAACGCAAGTTGTTGGCGGAGAAGACGAAGAAAGAGGAACGTGATAGGCTGTTGAGGGGTATGTCTGCCGAGGAGCAGAGGAAGTATTTGGAGAAGGAGAAAGAGAGGGAGGTGAAGAGGGGGTTGAAGAGGACTACGAGGAAGGGGTAGGTGTTGTGAAGGGGCTGTTTTTTGTTTGATGCTACGGACGACGAAGTGGAGGGCAAGGGGGGTTTGATGGTGGCTTGTTTTGGGTGATTCTTGTTTCTTTTGACGAGGAGCTGGAGCAAAAGGGGGGGAGGGTTCCCTTTCTACTGGCCCCCTATTGTTTTTATATTTTTACTTTTACTTTTATTTTTATTTTATTTTTTCGATGTTTTACTACAGCTTCATTTTAGTGGCTTCATTTGACATCTCGTATGTAAACTTTGAGCGGAGTTTCCAATTGTCTAATACTGGCTCAAAATGGAAAAAAAAGGAAATCGGTGGACATTTACCCGAGGTCTGACATGTTTTGCTTTTGATCAATGTATTCTTACATCTTTTGATTGAGGATTTGATATCTGGCAGCGGCTGACTGTCAAAAGCAGATAACCACGCAGATACATAAGCTTGCAGATCTACCGTATCAAACATTTCGTCACATAGCCTCTCGTTAGGATATGAGTCGCATAACAGGGGCCCTGAATAATAACCAGAGTACAGAGCTTCAGAAAGCAGGAAGGAAACTAAGTAGGGGAGATGTCAGGTTTTTTTTTTTTTTTTTTAACACTTTGCTTCTCATATTTCTATATATACAGTATGCATATCACACCAAAAAAAAAAAAAAAAGAAAAAAAGAAAAAAAGAAAGAAATAACCCTTCTCCATCATTGCCCACCGCAATTCCAACACAGTGTGATGTTAAGTATAGCTGGTTGACAAACATCAATGCAAACATGAATGCCATTTGTGTGTAAGGTTGAAAGTTCAGCGAGGTTTGATCATTGCCCCTTTTCCAAGGACAGAATTAGAACCAGGTTTTGTAACCCTGTATTCGACATTGGTTAGAACGATGTAATTCCATGATTACCATGTCTTAATAAAGAGGGGGCAGGAACTGGTCCGAAAGGAGAAAGAAAGAGAAATAGAACTTACAAGGACTGTTCGGGACATGGCATAGAAAGATGCTGTTTCAGGGAGCAATTGGCCCTCGTTAGCTGCTGATAGCTCCTTTGGCCGGTACATATATCAGGATGGAAGAAACATACCCACGAAGGAGCCAAAGAGGGAAACGTAGTATGGATACAGGAGGTATGGGCTGCGATGGGACTGTATTGTGTTAAACCAATGTTAGATTGCCATATCGTTTGCATCTACCTTTCGACTTTGTTCCTCCTGGCGTCTCGGTTTTCGGAGCAGGACGTCATCTAGACCTTAAAAGAGGACCGGGCATGGGGGAACGTACCTTTTGCCAGATGCGCTTGCCGTCATGTCTCTGGAAGAGACGCTGGTAATAGGGAACACGGTTTTCGCGGAAGACGAATCTAAATAGGGACATGCGGATACATTAGCCATTCATATATATAAATGGAGACATGTAGATTGATGAATTGATGTCGATGTTGCGCTAAGCTGGGGTTTAGGGAGGATCGGAGCAACTTGGAAGGGGCGTATGTGAGGGAGGCTTACCCGGCCATTCTGGGGAGGGTTCTGGACACCATGGCTGCGAAGGTGTAGAGGTTGAACTGGGCAACTGAGGTAGTAACTCGGGTCAATGGTAGACGTGGTGATGGTTGATGCTTGACGTTTTGACGACGTTTACCGATCGTTCCCTGCCGAAGTGAGGGTGATGTTGGTGGTTGGTTTGTGGATGAGGTCAGCAGATCACGTGAAGATACCTTCTTCGGGTTTAATCCGCTTTTGGTAAGTTGCTTGGCACCTGGGCGCTGCTTTTTTGTGTGATGTTAGATATCCTGGCAAAATAAGGCCCAATTCGGCTAGCATTTCTCGTAGGACTAAAGGGACGAGTTGCAATTCCATAGGGGCCATCTGGGGAATCCCTAACATGTTATTAGCAGCCGGCCTTGACCGGTAGTCACACTCCGCGTGCTGCACGTGATCTAGCCGACCTCTCTCTCGGTTGTGCGCTAGTCTTATTTGGGACACCCTAGCCTTATTTAGGACTAGCTCATACATCCCACGCTGGCCTTGTAATCGCTGCCCGTTCCCCGTAGAGGAAGCTCGCATTATCTGCTTATAATAGTAATATATGATCAATTCGCTCTTACGCATCCTTTTTTTTTGGAGTCGCCCTGGGTGTTTGTATGATATTCGTGAATGGCATATAGAGCAGATAGACAACCAACCGTCCTTGGGCTCCCGTTATTTCCCGACGGAGGCAAGGTAGATGCAATTGGCCGCCCAGAAGCTGCTGGGTTCACACTCTACGTTATCCCTTCTCAGTGTTCTCCTTGTGACTCCAGCTGGACTCGATAAACTGCAATTGGACAGAAAATGCCTACGGTACGCAGGACGCCATGCGAGATCTCAGGAGAGGAAAGCTTCTTCAGCGAAATTTCCAGCGGAAATCGATTTTGCGACCCGTCGCAGACCGGGACGAAGAGCTCATTTTGTGAAACCACTTAGCAGTCGACCTACAGCTCCTCAGAGAAGACAACATGGATCCTCCCTTAATTTCCAGCGCCATATTAATACAAAACCGGTATTACAAGACCACACGAACCCGCTGCATGGAAAGAGAACAGATCCATCTTCCTCTCGGCTCTCGAATTATTTGAACGAATGCGCAGCCTTTCGGTCCGCGGACTGGGCTTTGGACCCTGAAAAGCTCAAATTTGAATCAGATGTTGGTCATTCTAGAGATATTGGGAGCAAGTTGATTGACGACCCTCATTTCTCAAATGATTTTGAGTTGTGGAAGCTGCTGCTTCTCTATCGCAAACGGCATGACGGCGATGATGGCGTAATTGATATCTGGAGAGGGCTGAGGGAGAGAGGGGAGCCAGTGGATCTACCGGTGGAAGGCGATTCTGCTTCGTTTCTGTGGAAAAACTTTATCACTGTTGGATGGAAACGAAATTATTTTTTAAGCGAAATACATTCTTACGCCACCGAGCTTTATGAACGATCGGGGAAGGTGTGGGACAGGGAAAAATATTACGAATCTGTTGTTGTTGGATTATTCAAAAAAGGTTTATTTGCGAAGGGAGTGGAGTGGCACAAAAGGTTAAAAGACACACATCTGTCAAACCCAAATGCTATATTACTACAGCTATTTGAGTCCGCGGCCTCGATTGACGGCGGTTTAAGGGCGTTTAGGAAAATATGCAGGACCTTCGATAATCATCAGGTCTATTCTGCTATCATGCCACAACTTTCAGGGGCTGGAAGGATGTCTGATGCTTTGGCGATGCATGATTTCCTCTTACAACGGAACGATCTGCCCCGAACAGTACAGGACGTTAAACCTTTAATTCAATATCTGCGGTGCTATGGGACGAAGGCAGAAAACCAGTCGTTCTTAGCAAATTTAACAATGAAAGGACTCCTCCAAGATGGGAAATTCTTGGAACTGTTTGAGCGACGGCCACATGGTGCAACAGGCAAGGACACCGCTTCAAGGGTCGACGGAGAAGGGAACTATGTCAGTGATAACTTCGGTGCCCGTTTTTTTGCCACAAAGACTTTCACGTTTGAACTTTTCGTTGCTGGTGTCAAAGCATTTGGAGCTACCTCGATCGGACAACAGACTCTAAGGCAGATGGCCTTGAAGGCGGGGAATGCCAAAAAGTTATCTGAGCAGCTCGATATTTTGGAACGGGAAGGTATTTCGATAGGTGACACTGCATTTTCGAGGGTTGTCCGGAAATTAGCCTCGGACGGAGACGACTTTGTATTGAATGAGCTTTTGCAGAGTGATCTGCACCCGGAAGTCTTCGAGAACCTTAAGACTCAAGAGGACCTCTTTGCTGCCTATTCTATTGCAGATGACCAGCGGCGGGCACGTATGGTGTACAAAATTCTTACCATCCTATCTACCGAAGATATTTATGACCATAACATCCTTCTCCGAAAAGCGGTAAACGTTAAGGACTGGCGACGAATACCTCTTATCCTTGATAAAATGAGGGAGCATAGCATCCCCCCTTCACAAGAGAGCTTAGATCTGATGATCAAGAAGATACTACCCGTCCGTAGGCTTGGGATGCAAGAAGCTAGAGATCCGGAGAATCTTCGTGCAATCACGTATATGATTGGCATCTTGCAAAACTTGGTAAGCGTCGGAGTTGATGTTTCAGCTCACCGGTGGAATGAAATCTTGAAACGATTTGGGATGAGGGCCGACTGGAATGATCTTCGAAAACTGTGCCTTTGGTTGATACATTTCTATTCACCAATGGATCCCAAACAGGAAGAGTCACCTCTAACTGACCCTAATTTCCCTGAACGCTCAATCCACAAATTCGACCAGAAAAGGCTGCTCCTGCCCGCTCATCCCGACTCTCCCCTCCGCCAGATCTTTTCCGTGCACCTACAGACCGCAATAGTCGCGTGGGGGTTCTCTCTCGCACCTAATTCCAAAGAAATATATTATAATACTTTCAGCAAAGAACGCGAAAAAATCATCCCCTGGGTACGAGGACACGTCCTCCTGCGGGAACTGAAGGAACAGGGTGTTATCGTGCAAATGAACACGGTCCGCTTGGCAACCCGACTGCGTCTCGCTGTATTATTTGGTGACTACCGGTTATCCAACCGTCCCAGAAATCGTCTGTTGCGGGCTGTGAACCCATGGACACTCGAGGAGATTTTGCGCGATATAGATAGGGTTTGGGGAGTTTCGGTGTTTGGGAAAATGGTGGAGGATCCTCACAGGCTTGTGAACCCTCCACAGCGGTCATTGAACAGGAGTGAGCTGGATGATAAGCAAGATCAGGCGTGGAAGTATCATGGACACGTCTCGCAGCAAATGAAGTATAGAGAGGAGAAACGAAAGGTAGAGAAACAACTCTATGATCGCATCCATAATTATAACGATTAGGGTATCATATATTTTGTTGAGATATTATTTCTCATATTTTATGATTCGATCCTCATCGTGTCCAGCTGGCTCGGAAGGAAGTAAATGTACAGTTTCAAATAGCAATGAGCACACCAAACAAACTAACACCCTTGTCTATCTCAAAATATTTTTGTACCGTACTTAACGTATATTTTAGCTCCCCATCCGCTGCGCTTCCTTGCTTGTTGACCTAGTAGTTACCCAGTGAAGTGAGAGTTTTGCGGCTGCATCAACCTGAAATAAGCTTGACCCAAATTCCACACCACCTTCGATGCTCGGAGAAAAAAGGCAACTTTGCTAGAAGGAATGTAGCTATGATTTCCTATCACGACTACTTCGAACTGAGATGACGTTTTGAGCGCCAATGGTTCCAATCGCAAATCCCAATCCGCACAGCAAATTAACGTCCGAAACCAGTTGAGACTCAAAGACGCAAATAATGAGGTTCCTACGCCAGCATTTGTTGGGATTTTTTTATGCCAACTGTGTGGGGTGGTATCCCTCTTGAGCCCAGTATCTTCTGTCAAGTTGCGGATACGATTGGATTGACGCTATGTACCGTGCCCTCAGGTCCCGACAGTGCCTTTTCAGCAGTCTAAGTCATCAGCGGAGTCTCCGTCTGAAAACCCTGATAATGGGAGGGCGGCCGAATGACAAGTTCTTCAACCCGCCTCGCCCAGGAACCACCGACCCAGGCAGTGTTCCAGCATCGGTAATGGAAGGAAATATTTTGACTTCATGCTAGGTGACCCTACAAAAACGGCTGCTCCCTTTATAGCGTTTTGGTAACTAGCATCCGTTGAGCCCCCTTTTTCGTATCTATTATTTCTCCCGGCGCAAATACGATGCAGGCCGACAATTAATGTATATTTAACTAATCAGCAGCCACACCCGTTTGTTTCGAAAAATCAATCCGAAAGAAGTCGGACAAAATGTTCTGTTTCTCTGTATCGTTTAGGCGTCCGCAATTTTCACATTGCTCTTCAATGCCAAAACTATGTCGATGAATCCTGAATGTCACCCCCCACTCCGTCCCACTTGGGCCCCTGGAGAAGGCTCGCACAACCTCCCTGATGATCAATCAAGCCACAAGGACTCACTGGACGGGGCTACTATCGGTCCCGACCATGGTGAATCGTCACCAACAAAGAATATGCTTCATCGTCGCGGAAGCACTCTCTTTATTGTGGTTTTCTATGCCCTAGTTGCCCTCTATTCCTGGGTAGTCTTTACCATATTAGCACGTCAACCCGTCGGTGCTGGATGGCGAATGCAACTAACCAAGAGGTTGTATCAATCTGTAAAGTTCCTCGGTGGAGTTGCCGGAGTTTCAGCTTTGCCCGTCGCGACGGCAGTATGCGCACGAGCGGTCGTTGCCTACGACCAGAAAAGGCGAAATGGCATAACCTTACGGCAGACCAAGCTCCTTGCAGACCGTTCGTGGTGAAACCCTGGAAGTTGGTCCCGAGCAACAATAGCGAAAAAAAAAAAAAAAAAAACATCCACTGTTTTTCTTGCGCAACATCATATTTTATCTTCCATCGGCTTTGTTATCTTTCCGCTGCAGCAATTCCTCGTTGGCGAGGAAATTGCTAACTAAGTTCCGCGACGCGGATAGATAAAAGGATGGGCGGGTTAACCGACTTTTTCCCACTTCTTCAACTCACGGCCCCGTGTTCAGGGGAGCGATGTTCTGGTGCAGCGATTGCGGTATGCTATCACATTTGGTGAATCTAGGCGACCCTCACCCTAATATCTGGGTCGACACTTTCAGGCTGCGAACAGTTCGGGTCCTCTGATTTAACCGTCGCTGCACGCAGGCTGTCGGGTGCAGTCGTTTTATGGGTACCGGTCACTCTCTAGCCAGCTTGGACCCAGGGAAATCCTTTGTTTCTCCAGCCTTTACGACTTTCAATACCGGCCTGCTGAGGCAATTTACGCCCCGGCTGAACTCAACGGTTTCCTTCAGCGTAGTACCTGCGAGAGAATTTCCTAAGGATTGTATGAATCTTCCCGGCTCATTTTATGCGAAGTACCCTGGAACTACGGAGGGTAGTCCACATAATCCACATTATAGCGTCGAGGCGTGCATGCCATCAAACCAAGACAAAACCGCCTTGGAAAGATGAATTCCGAACCCCACAGCGTATATCAGAGGTTCTGAATCTGAAAATGTTCGTCAATAATCGTCAATGGCTGAATAATTACTCTATCTTCTCAGGAGGACCAACTGTCTTTAAGACCAGGTTGACACCACGTCTGGGTATTTCGAATTGCCGAATTATCTGAATAACAACACCCACAGTGACATTTTGACAGGGGATGCCGACGAGTTTTGCGACGAGAATCGCCCCAATCAGGGAGATAATTAACCCAATAGCAGTTACATAAGTTAGCAGGAGAACTCCCTCAACCCCCCGTATAACTAATGTATAAGCATATTAAGAGAATCGCTAGGAACAACCGTGCCAGATATCGTATAAAAATACCGTTTCGGAAACTGAAGCGCTGGGCTACTGACTTCATTTCTCCTGGTCGCGTTTCCATTAACTGGCAAGAATATAAGCACCGCATGGAATACGAAAACTGGCCTGACATCGACTGGAGAATTAATTCAGGTCCTCTCTGCACAGCTGCAGAAGCCCTCTTTGGTAACAGCTCCTTCATTGCGATCCATTCACATTCCCCCCTCTCATACGTAGCAGATTTTATATTAAAGCAACCGGGAGTGCCCTGGGATCAATATAAAAGCGCTCGGGAGTGAATTAGTTCAAACACAAAAGTGACCAGGAGTGGCTTGAGGTCAAAAGTAGTTATAGTAACTAGATATAAATTTATTCTCTGCCATGCATAGTCACACGGTCAGCCTCCGACTCCGATTCACCCAAACTTACATATCGTAGGTGAGGACGAACCGGCAATATAAACATGTCCGTTAGCTTACGCAGTTTACGTTTGTATATTTTGCGTGTATACATTTACTTAACATGACATCGAAGTTCTGTAATCTCTTTTCCACCTCTTTTCCTTCATTTATCAACTGACATGGCCACATGTTACCAATGAAAGGGCACGAATCACTTGAAAACCATTCGCTCAATGCAATAAAACGGCAAAACTATTAACTTTGCGAAACTGGAAACTCTCAAGACTTCCCCAGCAGTTTCTCAACAACAGCCACTTTGTCTTCCATTCTTTGCACTTTGTCGGTTCTATTGCAGATTTACTAGTCAGTGGTGACAAAGTTTAAGGGAAATATCGAAATCAAAGGACAACGCGCTCACCTGGACCCAACCCTTATATCTGTCTGGATACGAACAATACCCTCGCTATGCAGCATGGTATGTGCCTGCCCAATAACAGCAAAAACAGCGTCCCATGAGCCTTCTGGATGGATTGGAGTCTCGTCAGCTTCTCAGGTAGAAGGCATGTGGAGATGCGTATAAGTCTATTATTTAGCAGAAAATTGGAATAGATAGAGAGGATAGAAGCATTGAAAATATATCCCATGATTATTTACCAATCAGGAGCAATAGAGCGAGGCTATTAGAAGCATATATATACACATACCTAGAGTTGTTCCAGCTGAATGCATGACATACTTCACACCAGACTTCTCAACGAGCCGCTGAACATCAGCTATTTGTTGAGATACTGAGGGAGAGGATGTTCCTATCTGTTGATGCATCATAAGATATATAGTTACATAACTGCAATGGACTAGTTGTGTACAAACGCCAGCTTGGAGGTAGGGCATTTTGACCAATTGTACTCTTACAGGAATTGAGATCGTTTCAGAGGGGAGTGATTTAAATCATGGCCCATGGAAGCTTCCTGTGGGGTTGGGGATGACATGAGTGGATCACCCATGTCAACAATAGATGGCGTACATACCGGTATCAGACAGAAATCCGCTGTGCAATGAGGCGGCGTGGAGAATGTACTGCTAGATATGCTTTCCATGGCTGAGATTTCTGGGCGGAAGGGGGGCGGTTGGCATAAACTACTCTAAATTAGATGAAACCGAGGGGTTCTCTTCTCTGGTGAATCGACACGGTTCTTCGGAATCAACGGCGCATCAAGGGGAAGATCTGGTGGCCAAAGATCTTGGGCGTTGTCTGAGAAGTTTGCGATTGGTGTGGCCACAGCCTTCTAATGAACTGTTAGTTGGTTACTGGGCCACCCGATGAATTCTTGACCTTCCAACTCAACATAAATTATCTTTTCCACCTTCTCATAATGAGCTCTCAACGCGAAATATCTATTCAAAAAGCCAACCGAGAATTAGACAATGGCACACTCTCCTCTGTTAAAGCTGTAGCGGCAGGTTACAGCCTTTCAAGAATCACCCTACATCACTAATTAGCTGGTAGAATCAAATGTGATTTTAGCTTGCCAGCAGCAGTAAAGATTAAGCTCTGAACAAAAAAGAGTATATTAGTTCAGTGAATTCTGAATGAAGATGTTAGCTCATCCTTTCTGTTTACACATGTGTATGAGAATTGATCTTCTGCATTTTAAAGATTAGTAGAAATACTACTCCCCTAGACAAAGAGTGTGATGTGTTGTTAGATGTCTAAGATATAATTAAAAATCTTGTTTATATTCATAGATATCTTCCTGTTGAAAAAACTTCGTAGAACTCAATCAGCACAAATTTATAATTCTGTGATCTATATAATAAGCTACAAATTTGATATAATATATATAGTTATATACAGAAAATATGTAAAACATAAATAGGTATAAAATGGCACAAAGATTTAAATATGAAAGTACTACATATCACATTCTTGGTCTGTACGCATTTGGGTCTCCGCAGGCTTGACCAAGCTTGATGAGCACATTTCTGCTTAGGGAGCTGAAATGAGCGCAGCATGTATCAAACGAGAGCAGCATATATATCTTCGAAAGGGGAAAAAAAACTTGATTGATATTCTAGTTTCTAATCTCTCTTCTGTCTCTGCAAATTTGTCACTCGGCTTTTTGTAAGTGTGGAATATCCAATTTCACCCTATTTTCTTATATGGGACGCAGCTCCCGTTTGACAAGAATGGTTCGAGCAGTTTTAGAGTCTTGTCTCAAGGCACGTAATAAATGATGACAAGTAGTGTCCATTATTCCTGACAACACAAGCCTTGTTGCGTGTTGGCCTACAAGGTCTTCCTTTCAGATTGGATTAACTAGTTACCAGCAAAGTGAGAGATGCCGTGGATAAAAGAACGACGGGCCTGGTTTAAACGGGTTTGAGCACCTGCAACAATTTTCGCCAACACCGTATTCGGCCATGCTGCTGATTCAGCGTTTGGTAATAGAGACGCGAATATCCAAGTGGACCGACTTGGAAAATGCTAAGAGTTAGGAATGGGAGGTGAAAATGCAAACAAGAAAGGAGTCAACAGAAAGATGGATTCCAAGGGGAAGGGAGCCCATCTTCATACCCAAGGCTTGGGAAGTGGTCACAAGATCGTGCGTTTCTGTTGATGAATAGGCTATGGGTCAGGTTTCAGTGGCATCCCTGTAAAATTATCGTTGCATGTAGAAAAGGCCGCATTTATTCGACAAATGTGACACTGAATCCGCGTTAGTCTATGATATCTGAGTTCTTCTGCGCATGTCGAAGCTCCTTGATCATATTCAGAAACAGATGAGAATTCGGTTTCTTCCATCGTCTACCGTCTGGAAAGACAAGCCGGCGTAACCTCTTGACACAGGGGATCAGGGGTTGACAGTATGGAGTGAAATTAACCTCTGCAATTCCGAGAAAATCACTCTCATCATCAACAATCCCTTTTTAGCTTGTGCAAGCTCTTCAGTTTCCATATAGTTCCATTTCTCCAAGTGCTCCGCCTCTTTCCCTTTATTTGGCCCATAATAGTGAATGCATATCCAGAAGAGCACCGAGAAAAAAGACTCCATATCATGCATGAAGGAATGTTTTCCACCATACAAGACACCAATAGCCATGAATGCCCTGGTGCCAGTCTTGCCCTGCGCGCCCAAGGACTCATCCCGTCGCTTCTTGATGGCCAGGTCAAGGTCGATCAGGAAAGCTCGCCATGAAGGATTGTTGTTGTCCTCATTCACCATCAGGTTCCGTGGGAAACGTCGCATTGGACAAGGCCAGCCTTGTCATAGAGTGAGATATCTCCTTCAATACAGTATGCAGCCCAGCAAGCAAAGCAGCCCTTGAACTGCTGCAGTAGATAGGTTTCCCGTACTCCTGAGCAACCACGCGACGACGCACTCGGTTCGGTGGGGTAGAATCCACCATTGGTTTGGTGGGAGAGCTTGACTGGGTACGTTTACTCGGAGGGGGAGGAAGCGCTGTGTCCACAATCAGAAGATCGTTTCTGTCCAGCAGTGCTGCTTTGACTCTTTTGTCCCTTCCGAGACCTGCTCCGCCGCACTGTCGCATGTTCACGATCGGATGCCATACATATACTTACGTTTGCTTCAGAATCAAAAGAGAGACCCGAAAGACTGGAGAGATCTTCAACAAAGTCTTCAGGAGTCACATCTCGATCTTCTTTGATAGTGAGAGCATGCAAACGATAGAACCATGCTGGAAGCTCCTGCCTTGGGTTAGCCATGTTGAAAAACACTTCATAACTCATGCACAGTTTTGCAAATCTATTCTGCTTCCCCAAAAACTTACTCGTCAGCAACTTCGTCTGGTTTAAATAGCGGCTTCCATAGAGAAAATTGGCGATTTTCAAAACTGGGAGAACCACGGTTCAGAGGAGGAACTTCGGTGCGCCTGCCTGTCTTTTGATTTTTCGATCTTAGGAGTTTGGGTTGTCCAGGTCCTTCGTTGAACATCTAGTACCTGCGCCCGGCATCAACGGAAATGGATTTCAGTTGCCCATCCATGCATACCAAAAATGCCTGGCTGTTACGCGACACCCGAATAAAAATACAGCGCATCTCATCTTCAAAAAGAGCCGGGCATATCTGCGAGTTGCGAGAAGAGTTCCATCTGTGTCTTGAACTGGAACCAACCTTGTGCTGGTTGTTACACTATTTACACCTCTCTTTAGCAGTCTCTGGAGAGCTTCATGCGCGTCTTTTGTAGCAAGACAGAAGCAAAAGAGTCAGTCCACTCACTGTCCAGAGAGCGTGCCATCCGATCCGATAGGCGCTGCGAATCCGTCAGCGTCCCATTCTGCACCTGCCTGTCCTCACAAACCCGAATGACAAGGACCTTGAGGAAAATTTGGTACCTTGGTGTTGTTTATGGCCAAAGTGAGCAAGTGCTGTTGTTTCCCGAGCCCGCGCCTTCAAGCTAACCTGTGGATCATGATGCATGCGTGGATTGCTCTTCCCCTGTCCATTCTTCCTCCGCTTGTGTTCATCAAAATGTCACGACCAGGCTTCCTGCTATGTCAGGTGATGCTGCGGGCTACCTTAACCACGTTCTTCCATACAGTATACATAGTTAGTAGTTTAGATTTCGGCCAGCTAGTTCGCACAGCACAACAACGTGGTCCTCCACGATCCTAGTCAGCCGGTTCCACTGATGGGCAAAATATGTGGCTCCTTGAAATCGAAATAATGCGGAATCTCCCAAGTGACGTGTGAGTCATTATCAACGATCACTCACCCCTCTGGATTTTCCAAGTGGTACAATGATAGCATCGTATGTGGCCGCAATTCGTGTCTCCCCAAAGAAGAAGATACAACCGTAGACGTGACGTGATTTCTGCATTGTATCAGAAAGGAGTATGTAACACAGAAGGCATATCATACTTTTCCACAGTATTCCTCAATTTAGAGATACCAGCTTATCTTCATCAAGAAGAGGAAGTGTGACACATGCTTCTTCGAGGGGGGGTTGGAGGGGCACGAGTTCCCGTGATAAGGATTATCTCATGTGATATAGTGTGTTAGTGTGGGATGGTTGATCCCGTATTGGGAGGACAAGCTGGCTAGTCTATATACGGTATGTGGGATCGCATGCGGGGCGATGGCAATTGCACATTCGCCTATGCCCCAATATCTTTATTGCCTCCATTCTCTTTTGATTTCTATGTTTGACTTCTTCATTTCGTTTCGCCTGAACTTTTTCCTTCGTCGCCTCTATATTTTATCCTGGTAAGTACCCGCATTTCCAGGACAGACAGGACTTGGAAATTCCAGTTCGATACACTTGCCCTGGGATATATTTCCCCCAACCATTTTTCAAAAACACGATCGGACCACTCCTACTGGATTCTCACAACGCCTGCTTGATTGAACCCGATTTTCCCCGGCGATGTCGAACGAGAACAATGGCATGCAAAGGGATCCAGTCAGCTCTTCTGCTGACAGGCGCACCGACATCGCGAGTCAGCAGGAAGTTGGAGAGACTCACAGTCGGGTAAATAGGAGAAGAAAAAGCTTTGACAGCCTTTTAAAGCCCAAAGTGACGTAGTACAGGACTCGGCAAACAAGAGCCCAACTTCTCCCAAACCGAAGGAGGGCCGGGTTGTGTGGACGCGTCAATACGTGGATGACATTGATGACGCGGGGGAGTACATGGACTGGTGAGGAGTACTTGCTGAATGTCATTCAATTGTTTGCTGACAACAAGCAGCCCGCACTGCGGTGATGCTGTCTCAAGAGAATGTTTTATAGCGGGCCACTTTGACTGGTGCCTCATCCACCAACATATAGCGAATTACACTGAGGCTGGAAAGAGATGCCTGCATGCGGACGCAGATGGCAACAATTGCGCTATCGAGTATGGCGGTAAGCCCTCTTTCATCTCCACCGGGCGTGCATAGCGGGAGCGGGTTCTTTGCTGACTGTTCAGCAGAGTACTTGGAGGAGGATGAATCGGATTCGGAGTCTGTTGAACCGGCTCAGGATCAGACGAGAAATGGCGGTAAACCGTCCAAGTAGGAAGAATGAAGTTTGCCGAGAGCCAGGAGGCAAGGAACAAGTAAAAGCGGCAGTGACGACATTAAGAATACGCAAAGTATGAGGACAAGGAGCGTGGGGTGTGATATCTCCAAGAGCAGCAAAGTGACTTTCTTCATCCAACCCAGCTGCTTTCCACAGCTATGCAGACGGTAGACATAAATTAGTATTATCAGAGTTAAGAGGTTGGGGAAGAATGCAGACATGGACAAAGGAACCACCGTATTTGGACAGAATTTCGCGGCCCTTAACATTTTTCATTAGGAGCATCTTTTAACAAGCTCTGCCATGGTTTCCAGACGGTGGCTGCATTCTTTAGTTGTGGATGGGACCCATCTGCGATAAATATGTGATAGCCAATATCTTGTATGTAGTAGTGATATGTATCTTCGTTCGGTGATCTCCCGGCTAGCTAGATCACGTGTATGCAGCAGGGGGCTGGCTACATCATGTGTTTAGCAGGCGGGAGCGCAACAGCCCCAGTCGAAGACTCCTCGTTGCTGCGACTTGTGCTTGGGCCCTCTTCGTTATCCAGTTACCTATGAATTCCTTCCAACAGAATCAACAGTCCGAAAAAAGAGAGGTGAGTCTACCTGCCGGTCTCCTGCTTTCCGGTCTTTCATTTACACGTTTGTCATGGCAGAAAGAGCTGCATGGAAATATTCTCCAGCCTCGTATCAATCCCACAGCCACAGACTTTTGTGTCTTATCACAACGGGAGGACTGCTGGGATCCTGCAGCTGATACAGTTTTTCAACTTTATCGGGTATACGTCATACGTATCAAAGGGAGAGAAGGGCATTTCGGACATCTCGTAGCAGTGTGGGGAAGCTTAGTAATGTCCATTCATAGTTAACAAAATTGAATATCATTAGCAGGAGTATCTATTGCCATTTCCTGCAGAGAATATCAGGGCTGAAGAGCTAAGACACAGGACCTGGGTGGGAAGTTCTCCGGAAGATGGGCGGAGATGGTGTGGAGTGAGAAGGCGAAACAAGGGAAGATTCCAGGGGCAGCGTGAGGATCGTGACTCAGGATTGAGCGCGGGCGAGTGGGGGAGAGTGAGGGCGAGGGCGAGGGCGGATCGGGGGGGGGGGGCCCTGAGAGTGGGCGACCGGTGAGGGCGACCGGTGAAAGGGCAAAAGAGCAGTGTAGTGAGGTTGTTGGAATAGCAAGAGGGTGTTGTGGTTTAACTATTTAGTTAAGTTACATAACTCGATCAAGTGAAGCTGCGGTCAGCGCCACCGACCGCAGCCGCAAAAGGGACGGCCGTTTTGTGCGCGGGAGGCCCCTCAAAGGCATCTATCTATCTAGATACCAAGTTTAGTTGTTCTTGTTCTTTTTATCAAGTTTCTTATGTCTTCATTATTTTATAAATCAATGACCCTAATTATAACCATGTTAAAATAAAATGAATTACTCTTTTAAAATATTCAACTACTCCTTTAAAACTTATATTTCTTCCCCTCTGCCTCCCAGGGACCGATTGCTCTGGATTTGCGGTGTCGCCAGCGGTATTCAAAACGGCCCAAAAGCTCCAAAATCCAGGTGCAAAATGCCCACGCGACCAAGGAACTTGAGTCTGGATGATTGGATAACGGAATGTGGTTGTTTCCTGATATCCAACGCAACCTGCATTAGTTAAATACTTGTTTCCCGGACCCAGGATTTGACGATGCAGAACTAAACCTTTGAAGAATCTCGGAAGCAGACCGGTTGGGAGCACCTTGAATTTGGTGTCCATGCAAAGCTCTGAGTGCGTGCTCACAAAGGAATTCTCCAAGTTCCCTCCGTGGAAATCAATTCACGCTTGTTCCATGGGAAACCCCTCCATTTGGTTGTTAGACAACGAACGGTAGGTATGTTGAGCACCAGCCTGCAGGGGAAATCGTGGCAGCTACCCCGCTAGTTAAACATGAACTCCACCCCTCACACGAAGTCCTATTCACACAGTTAAGTCATGATTTTTTTTTTTTTTTTTTTTTTTTTTTTTTTTTGTTTATTGCTTCGGATCTGGCTGTCAACTTATTGATATGGATGAGAAAAACAACAGAGGCCTCCCCCCTCAGATACCGAGTCGTCTACCCCTCTTCAACCTGTCGCCCTCGCCTCCCTCGCTTCGTTATTCGCAGCGAGCTGAACACTAGCTTTGACGCTCCAAGCCTTGCCTCCTGCACCCACCGATCTCGCCTGGTCTGATCATGTCGATTCCCTGTAAGGTTTGGACGGTCTGGTGCTGCTAGGCATCCCACACGTCCAACCAGCAAAGAGGTGATCTGTCAAAGGTCCGAGTCCATCCCCAAACTCAAGGTTAAGCCCTTTTCTCGAGAGCTGAATGGGGTTTCCTGTTTGCCAGTATCCACCACTTGAGCAGCTGTATTCGCTGTCGGCCTTCTTCTGTCTGGGGAGTGTTCCTTGTAGTGATTCTCGATGAACTGCGGTTGGCGAGGCATGCAGCCTTGGTTCATCCCTTGTAGTTAGTTAGGAACTGAGGCCATTGAAGTTTTCCCGCAGGAAACGAAAAGAAAATAAAGATCTGACCGATCAAAGGTGAGAGGAAGAAGTAGTTAACTAGCCAACTAGTTCACAAGGGGACTTAACAAAAAATTAACTTGGGAAGTAAATTAACTAACTAACAAAATCGTCTTAAAATTATTTTCGCGATGAGAGCTAAAGCTGCCGTTTGAACGAACTGTGTTCCGCCATCAGGTCGAGAGTTTAATAAATTATAGTTACAATGTGGGTCTTGATATATTTTGCATGTTGGGCGCTCCGTATTCTGATAGTCGACTCGAATTTTAACTCTTCCGGTGGACCCATGCGAAATGTAATCAGAACAAAATTATATAACTATTCTTTGATCACTCCCACCCACCCCCCATCTCCTCTCTGCCCTGACCCTTTCAACTCCATATATCAGACCCGCCCGGCAGGTCAGGAGATATACTACTCTAGAGAGCGCCTCTTGCTGCGATCTCTCGAGCCGGAGTTCGGCACAGGCACGACAGTGGCCAGAAACACCGCTGCAGCACTCGGACTCTTGGGTGATCCCGCTTCACATGCGGAAATCATCGAAACACCCAGCAGTTCTGAAACGCAGCAGATGTTGTCGAACCATCTCCTCAATCTTTTAGCCTACACGATCTATTGGTCGTTGACATTTTCTTCTTAAATTGCTCATTTTTTGGAGAGAAAACGGTGTTCGCGCAGCTATCAAGAGGTGTTGGAGTTACGGGTGGTTTGCGCATTGCTGCGGAATTCTTATTTGATTTTCCAATAGGAACCAACAACGATAATAAGGAGGGGAGAAGACAGAAGGAAAATAAAATAAAATAAAATAAAAAATAAAAATAAAAGCCAAAAAATTCAGAGAGCGGAACAAGCAAGTTGGTTAAATAAAAAATCCCCCCAGATTTAAAACGAGCCTGTTACCCGCAAAGTCTCCAAAATCCCCATCTGTCCAACCACTTTTCATTAAACATCACGCATCCCTCCGTGGTGATTGTTGTTCTCGCTGGCTGGCTGGGGATGGAAACTCTGGACTCAGACCCTGTCTTCGTCGAATTGCGAACATCAAGCTGCTGCAACTGCTGCAACTGCTGCCACTGCTGCCACCTGCGCCAACCCAAACCCGGGACCAAGCAGGACCAAAACCAGTTCTCAAATCCAAGTCCAAACCCAGAGTCAAGGCCGAATCTGCTGCCAGTCTGTGCATCGTCTGCTGGGCTTCTCGGTTAACCAACATCACACCCCCGACCCCCGACATCCGCTGCGGAGTCCTTCCTGCCCCCGTGGAGGATTGAGCCCAGGGCTGCAGACCGCATCGGGGTGTGCTGTTTCCCGCTGTGGGTGGTTTTCTGTTTTTCTTCTTCTTTTTCCCTATAAAATATCTATTTTGCAAACTCCGATTTTGTGTATTGTTGAGTTGATTTTTTGATTGTTAAAATTTGAATTTTGTTTTCCGTTTATCTACGTTGCCTTTTTTTTTTTTTTTTTTATTTGATTCCAAGACATCCAAAACCCGCATTTTCATTGGTACACTTCTTGATTATCACAGCTGGCTGAACATCAGTTATACCCCCCCGCCGGGATGATATTTTGCTCTATGCCATGCATTATGATGGCGCATCGGGGTTAAAGACGTCAGTCTGCGAAAGGGGCAAAATACGTAGCGCATCACAGAGAAGAAGCGGCCACGAAGACGCCCACCGCGTACGGCAAGGCTGGCGGGACAACCTCACCTGTCTGTTATACGACGTTGCCGCCCCATCTGATGTTCTCCCTTGCTGGGTTTGCATTGTCGAGAAATTAGCCATTCAATTTTAGCCCACGCTGGTCCCCGACCTTTCTCTCTCCAATGGTTGGATTGATATTCCTGTTTGCGTTTTCTGCCTTTATATTGATCTTGAGATTCACAGATCGATATAAAAAGCAGGCGCCAGTTCGTATACAACAAGCTGAGCGAAAGGCTGTGCGAGGGAAAACAAGAGAACTGTGGCGGAAAGTACCAAAGCGATCGGCCAACCCAGGATCCGATTGCAACGCAACCGATGCGATGAACTTGATCTCCCCCCATATTGCATCACTTCCGATCCCGGAACTCCCTGATGGCACCCAATCGCTCTACCTTGCCGAAGGTGGTGCAAACATAGTTTACAGGTATACCATTCCTGGCGAAATTTCTCCTGTTGGAGTGATAAATCCGGGAGGGCTGCAGCAGAAGTCTAGAAAATTACTGCGACTGCGGAAAGAGATCGATTCTGGTACCCCTTACGAGGATACTTTGAAGAATTTCAATAGCTGCATCAGACCCATGTTTATGAGCGACGAACTGGTTGACCTGGAACTTGTCAGATTACCCAAAGGATTCATTACATCTTGCAACGAGCAGCTCCGTGCGTTCGAATCTCGCAATGCACGACCAAAAGGACGCACTGGAGTACACCTATCTACCACGGAACCATTTGGGCTATTGATCACGGATATGACCCCCGTCCCAGGGTCGGGTGAATGCCTATGGGAGTTCAAACCAAAGTGGCTGCTGCAGTCACCTTCAGCACCGCCTGATGCAAAGCGATGCAGAACTTGTGCACTACGCGAGATGAAAAACTGTAGGGCACGGAAAGCCGGCAAGCCGGAGAAACTTTCGTTCTGCCCCCTTGATCTAGTATCTGATAACTTCGACGATGTACTCCGTGCAACAAGGTTCATGCGGGGCGATCACGGACGGGACCGTGTCGCCAGATGTATACACCGAAACAACACCTTGTTGAAACTTCAAGCCTGCCAGCGAGACAAGAATGCAGTGGGCCTCCATGCTCAACAGGCGCATTTCCGTGAACGCGCAATTTCCATGACTTTGAGGGATTGCACCATGTTCATTAGGGTGAGGAAATTGAAATGTCCCGAATAGCGACCAAATAGTGTTCTGACTGATGCCCGCGTGTTGTTGTAGGTTCCACAAAACGAAGATGAACCACTCGAGGTGCGTCTGGGCGACCTTGATTTTAAGAGCGGGATTGGCGGCAAACTGGAGTATTGGCGAGAAACGGAAATTCGACTCATTGAAGAAGGGTGGTACAGTGGCAATCGGAAGGACCAGGGATTCAGCGAATGTGCATTGCAAGGGCCTCGGGGCGACTTGCGTCAGTCCGCAGAAGCTGCGTTTAAATAATATTTTCGGTAGAAGGGTTTCACTTTATACATAATGGTAACAGTGAGACGCTTGGAAAGGAGTGATGGGAAATGGATAAATCACTTGTTCAGACGATATAGAACTCTACTCTATTTAGCAACGCCCCCCATCATCATCATCATCATCATCATCATCATTCCTTGTAACTTTCTAGTTCTTGTTTCGGAACCCAAAGATAATCTGATCAAAGACTCTCCCCAATAATGTCACGCCCAAACTATGATTTCATGTCACAAAAATGAACATTTTCTTGCGCTAAACAGTTTTCCAGACTTTAATCCCTCCATCAGCTAGGGTCCAAATACTCTGGAAATGTTAACTTAGGGGGAGAATACGACCAAGTTGGACATTGAATAACTACAGGGAGGAGTCGGAGAATATCTAGATATTCGAAGAATGCCGGCACGATCTCGGGGATTGGTCCACTAACTACTTACAGAAGACCCTGTCGGGCGATCCTCCACCTATCCGAGTAGCTCCGCAGAATTCAAATTGTCCCGTGTAATCTTGCTTAACTGTCCTTTCTAGATACGTTCAAAAGAAGAGAGTTTCCTTCGCGTCTGACGAAACCCACTATGGCGATGAGTTTTAACGCTCGATGCACGGTGCCGTGAGCACCCGCAAAAATGGAATTGAAGGGTATGTCCTCGACTTCCATAGCCGATCGATTTATTTTCTGTCCTCCGATCAAGCTAGAACTCCTATTTCTTCCTGCGTCGGCTGTTACTCAATGTGGCCATCTCCTGCATCCTTTCGACCTTTCTCCTGACTGAGGTTGTCGATGATCTCCTTGACCCTCCAGAGCTTCTTTAAGATGCTGCTGTAGCAAATCTTTCACGTGCTGCTGAAGGCACAGTGCCCGCGGCCAGTCCAACTATAATGCTTCCGGAGGATGCTGATGACTCGCTGTTCTGGTGAAGAGAAATAAGAGAATCGAGAGTGTCTCTGGCCCCTTTTGAGAACGTTCTGCCCCGTTGCTGGCTCTTTGGGTCCCATCCCCGTTCCCAGATATGTCGCTTTCTTGTTACATCAAGACCTGGTGTGATGCCGGACAGGTTCAATGGTAGCGAGAGCTGTAAAAGCTTCTGATAGACATGGGAAACGCCCACGGCATACGAATGATTATGGAAATTGTTTGAAATAAGCTATTCATCTGCCTCTGCCGCTGCCTAATATTGCTGCCCATTTTGTGATGAAATTGAGATCATCCACACAGTTCGACCAATAATGAGCATCAACAATACATGCTAATATGCTTTGCAAGGATCAGTGCAGCAAACCGGGGACGAAGGGATTCCACCCATGGAACACGGATCTTACGGAGGTCTCATGGGAATTGCTGTAAACTAAGCATGTCCAATGTGGAGTCGACAACGCATCTTCCCGTTGCCCGTCGACTGTTTGACGAATGATGTTGATTAAGAGTGAGCTAGTTAGTTAACTATAACTAGTTAGTCAAACAATGCTGCCCCGTTTAACTAGCTGGCGTATATAACATCGAATGCCCCTCTTCACAGCTTGAAGCTTCGTCATCCTTCCTCCAATCTCCCAGTCCCTTGAAATCGACTCTCTTTTTGTGATCAAACAGTACGATTCCCAGGATGTATGCGGACGGCGAAGCCCTCAAGCATGCCGATACGTTGTACATATTATGGGTGCGGAAATTGCAGCTATGTCCGATAGAGGACTTGGCTGCGAAACTTGCGGCCAGCCACTGTCGGGATACTGCGACAAAAGTCGTCCTCTACAGAGAGGAAGCCAACAATCGTTGTTACAAAGTAACTTTCGCAACGGGTCGCAATGCCATTGTGCGGCTCCCCAAACTGGGAATAGTCGCTTTACGCAGAGAAAAAGTTGACAGCGAGCTTTGCGTTATGGATTACGTCTCCCAGCATAGCTCTATTCCCATTCCCCGGATTTTCGGAAGTGGTATCTGTGATGTTGGACCGTACATGGTGATAGAGTTCGTTGACGGAACCCCTCTGGGAAAATACTTTCATGCTTCTCTACCAGATCGTTCAAAAGCAGCTGATTTGGACTCTGCGAAAAATGGCTCTGAACTAAGACGTTGCTACCAGGAAATGGCAAGGATCTTTCTAACCTTATCTCGGTGCCAATTCTCTCAAATAGGTTGGCCCAGAAGAAACGCAGACGGGATCTGGTCTGTTGACAAACGACCAGTAACATATAATATCAATAACCTGCTCATGCATGCCAACTTCCCTCCTCGGGATATATGGAAAGGGCCATTTTCTACTGCGACAGATTACTTTGTTGCACTTGCCGGGGATCATATGCGGCACCTTCAAACCCAGCGGAATGATGCGGTTGTCGATGAAATGGATTGCAAAAGAAAATATGTTGCTCGCTGTCTGTTTACGAAAATTGCACGCAGCTTCTCTACCACATATAACAATGGGCCTTTCTGCCTGTACTGCGACGACTTGCAACCGTCAGACGTTATTGTGGATGCTGATTTTCGCATTCAGAGTGTCATCAACTGGGAATTTTGCTACGCCGCACCGGCTGAATTTACGCACTGTTCACCGTGGTGGTTACTGCTAGAGGACCCTGAAGATTTGGAGAATGGATTTGATGACTTTCTAAGTCACTATGAGCCGAGGCAACAGATTTTTCTTTCCGTCTTGCGAGAATGCGAGAATGAAGCGGCTGCCCAAGGCCATACTGTAACCCCGCCTCTGTCAGAACACATGGAACGGTCGATGCAAGATGGAACTTTCTGGTTTTGTCTTGCGGCCAGATCCAGCTTCCTATTTGATGATATCTACTGGAAATTTGTCGACCCGAAGTATTATGGGGAGTTTACTTCGATTGAAGATAGGATTGCGCTTCTGAGCAAGGATGAGCAGACTGGACTTGACGGTTTTTACCAGATGAAGATGGAACAAGCGGCGGCGCGGACGTTGGATAAGCATCAGACATTCGATGAAATTCTTGCCGCTTAAGGCTCAACCAATCTTTCTTTTTGGACGTGGGCCCGTTCAAAAATTTGCAGATGATATCGGGTGTCTTTGAGTAGCTATCAAATAACGTTGTTATGTCTTGGGTCTGTTATTTTTAAAGAGTCCACTCTCTGTAATCAGCCGAGTTGCAGGTCATCTAGGACGGGTTGCACTTTTTCAAGGATCTGAATCGAACAGTATGCCGGCTGGTCGACTGATGGCTGGAAACCCCAATGGCCAAAAGTCCCCGTTCACAAATTTTGCAGACGTTGGCATAGCAAATAACAGTTATATCCTTAACAAAACTACCCCGCGCCTGTATCTCACCAATACAAGGGAGAGCGCTAAGCTTAATTGGTAAGCCAGATCAAAGCTCCTCCGCCAATTGTCCGCAGCTATTTAGATGGTAACTAAGATACCTGCTATGTAGCGACAGTAGGCCATTGGAGCATGGTAAGCATTGATCAGCAACAAGAGTCAAACGAACGAATGTTAGTTATCGCTTGGTGTGATGATATAAGACATGCACCAATCACATGTAGCAGTTTTATCGGTAACTAGTTATCCATGTTATAAAAAAGAAAAATCCAAATACTTACAATTAACTATAGTTAATATTAAAATTCATTACCACATTCTTGAGAATAGACTCCTGGCCATTGGGCCTGTATTAAGTCTTAACAACAAATTTGCACGCCTGATCACGTGCTGCCCAGGGGCAACGGCTAACTAAGTAATCCGCGCAGAGATTGATTTGTCAAAGTCTCTAAGCTCATTCATTTTCTTGTCCCCTGCTGCTTGCTTATGAATTGATTATTTTTTATTTTTAATTATATTTTAGCGCCCACATGTCAAAAAGCTTAAGTGATCTCAGACAAATCACGTAACGCTGTCGATCCATAATAATTATCTACTGTGCAAGCACACGGATGCACATGGGGCCGAAACCGAATAGATTTAACCAATTGGTCAGTTGCAATCATAATCTCACCCCATGCATCTCATTCAAACCTTTTTTTTTTATTTTTATTTATTCATTTATTTATTTATATTTTTTTTAAAAAATATCCAATTTGTCATTTTGACTAACAGTTTACTAATGATCAATTGGGTATTGAAGCCATATCATGATCATGATCCAACTACCTCGCGTCCTGAGACATCTGCCGCTGCTCGGTCCCATAAAACCCTCTCATCCCCTCTCCCCACGATACATATCAATATTATTCCCTTACACCGCCCATCAACTATCCATTCCTGCACAGATACAAAGAGTCCATTTCTCTCATTCTTCCTCAATTAGTTCCCTTCATCGTCCCTCCCGCCAATTCCCAATTTCTACTCTCCGAACAATCCGCCAAGCTTCCACAGCAGCAGCGCCAGATTTATCTTCTAAACCAATGACGGTCAAAGATATTTCTCACGACGCCCCCCCGGCTTCCTACGAGGCGTTCTTAGCGCTAGCTCAAGACAGGCGTTCCGTCTACCAGCTCTCAGCTTCCAGCCCCGTGCCAGACTCGAAGATTCAGGAAATCGTCAGCAATGCCGTCCTGCATGTGCCGAGCTGTTTCAACACGCAGTCCACACGCCTCGTGCTGCTGCTGCATGACGAGCATAGGAAATTGTGGGATATTACTATGAAGATGTTTGAGGAGGGGCTCGTTCCGGACGGGAAGGTACCGAAGGAGATGTGGGAGAGCCATACGAAGCCCAAATTGGGATTGTTTAAGGCCGCGTATGGGACTGTATGTATTGACCTCGTCTTCTTTCTTTTTCCCCTGAAGGGTGGGAGTGATGTCTTCGATAAACGTATCCCTTCTTGCTAACCAGTTTCCTTAAACCATTGCGTGTGTATGCAGATTCTCTTCTTCGAAGACCCGGCGCACGTCCGCGGCCTGGGAGAGAAGTTCCCAACGTATAAGGACTATTTTGGCCCCTGGACAGAGCATACGAATGCTATGCACCAATATCACCGTTCGTCCCTTTCCCATTCTCTCTCTCCCACCTCCAAAGGTAATCGTTCAAAGCTTACCACGTAATCTCCTTTCTCAACTGTAGTCTGGGTTGCCCTCCGATCCGTCGGGCTCGCAGCTAATCTGCAACACTACAACCCACTAATCGACGACGAAGTTGCCAAGACCTGGTGCCTTCCCTCCGAATGGCATTTGGTGGCCCAGATGGTCTTCGGCACTGCGACAGGCGAGCCAGCGGAGAAGACATATAAGCCGGTAGAGGAGAGAGTGAAGGTGTTTGGGTCGAAAGCATAAATTTAGATGTCGGTTTCGAGCTGGACTGGAGATGTGGGGATATCGAGTTTGGGATATACTAGATTTTCCGATGCCCTGACTGGTTCTGTTTTCCCACGTGTTTTCCTATTGGATTGTTTTCTGTCGAGATATTTAGGCTTGAGAATTAGGTTTTCTTTGTCGTTCTGGCTAGACTGATACTAGCCCTCCGTTGCTCATGGAGGACGCATGTGACGTTGATCTCCATGCCTCGTCTAGACCTAGATAGGGAGATGACTTGGCGGCCAGCAGCTCGCGTGAGAAGTCTATAATTCCTTTGTGAATTAACAATCCGTTAAACAAAATAACTAAGACACAAGCTGATACCAATAAAATGGCCCAGTAGTAAGGGTTGACTGCTGCGATTGGGCGAAACAAAACTCTACCGAGTAACTTATCGCCAAGCTTCTAACTGAGGACACTGAAGCACAGGAAATTTTGTTTCTCTCTCAAAAAGTTCAAACATATGTTGGCTCCTCTGCCACATGACACTGGTAGTTCACCCATTGTCTGATACGAGTTAGGGGGGCACTCCTGCTTCGACGCGGGTAGGACGTTGAACTGAATCTCAACTTCATCACACCACTTGATCTGCGACAATGTGGACCGAGAATGATGATTCAGGATCTCTTTAAGGCTAAATGGAATAACCAATGAGAGAAAGCTGAACAAATGCATGCCTAGATTGGGTCTTTTAACGACTTGACAACGTTTCAGAGTTGGGTTGAAGTTAGGGCTTTTAGTTTGTGAGTGCGCTTGTGCGTGCGCATGTGGACGCATAGACGGGGTTATGAAATCTCCGTTTTGGAATTTCCGTTCCGACATTTGTTTCGCAGATGATTTGGAACGGACGAAGTAGTACGCCCCAACATTTCGTTCCTCCACGTCGAAAAATTAAACCACTATTTCTTCTTAACGACAGTGGTGATGCCTTCGCTCTTCTTCAACTCTTCCAGCTTCTCCTCTCGCTCCACAAGCTTTGCTTTCTCCTCCTTCAGCATTTGATCCACAGTCTTGATCGCCTCCGCTAACCTATCCAGCTCCTTCGCTTCCGTCTTGTGACTATACGGATTCTTCGGGCTATCCGAGTGAGGGATTTCTGCTGTCCTCCCTGGCTGTGGCAGTGACTGCTTTGCGCCCTTTCCCGCCTTCCCCTTAGGAGCCTGCTGCGCCGCCCCTGCACCCCCAGTGAGCAGGTCATAAAATTGCTCAACAGGTTCGTTGAACACGACCTCCTCATAGTTCTGCGCCACAATGACATCTCTTCTCTCTCTCTTCCCTTCTATGTCATCTCCGTACGGGTGGAGCTTTAAACTATGCCATAAAGTCTGCGGCTTCTCCGTCGATTCCGGGACGAAATAGAGCTTGATCTGGATCTCAAATTCACCCCATCCTGTCTCAGTTACTTCGAAGGGGGGTGACTCAATGGTGCGCACGGACTGCGCGTAGGTCTCATGTAGTTTGAATTGCACCTTTTTCAACCAGTATGAGATGTCCTCGTCATTCACTCCTTTAACGAATGCGCGCCATTGGTGGGTGTGGTCCTCGGGGGCATCGGGGGGTCTTTTAGCTGGGTCGAAAGGTTGCGCTTCGCTTCCGAAAACTGCGGGTTTGGTTGTTAGAGGAAACCTGGAGTCGTGAGAGAAGGGAACACAAAGTTTTGGGGAAGAATTGTTTTACACACCGAATGGCCTGTAGATTGAGATTCCCTGTGGCATATGTTAGCAAACTGAGACGTGAAGATAGGAGGGGAGTTGTCGGGAGACAAACGCGAACGCGTTTTGTGCCTGCTGGAGCAGGCATAATTTCAAGAGGATTCGGAATAAATCTGTTGAAGTGACGATGCAGTTCAGAGGTATTGGACACTTGAAGATTTCGAGGTGCGACTCGTACTTCGAATTTGGGATGATGTTTTAGTTTATGATTCGGTTCAGCAGATCGATTTAAACCCCATAGTCACGTGATGTAGGGTTTCGGACTGGAGTCTGTCGTCACAAAACAATACGATAGACAACTCGATATCGTAAAATAACAACTCAGACGAGCTTCTCAAGCTTAGAGGAACCACGTACCAGTTCTTGTACACTGTTAGTAAAATGATCAGTGGGGTTAGTTTTGCTTTTACGGTTTAGTTCAAACTATTTCCTCCTACTGGAAGGGAGATGGCCGGGGCGAAGAGAATAGTTGTTGCGGGCGGAAGTGGATTTCTAGGTAAAAGAATATATCACCATCATCAATTCATAACAATTGCTCTACCTTATCGATTTTAGCCTCCATTTCTAACAAATTACATAGGTTCAAGAATATGCAAATCAGCCGTAGCAAGAGGCTGGGAGGTAGTGTCATTGAGGTAATTTGTTACCCCTTACAATCCAGACGGCTCCGCATACATGCAAAAGCGTGACCAATGTTCTTCATTTCTAGTCGACACGGCGAACCAGCCTGGGATACTATTACATCCTCTCCGCAGCCTCCACAATGGGCAAAGTCCGTGGAATGGGCCAAGGCTGATATCCTGAAACCGGCCACCTACAAGCCATTCCTCAAAGATACTTCTGCGGTCGTCCATTCAATGGGAATACTACTAGAAGCGAATTACAAAGGCATTTTACAGGGGAGAGAATCGATAGTGTGTGGACTACGTAAAATATTCGCCCCATCTCGGCCTGGGAGCCAGAATCCTCTACAAAGGAAAGAAGGGGAAGAGCTTCTTTCTGGAGAATCGGGCGGCCAGTTAACATATGAACTTATGAATCGGGACTCAGGTTGGTTTAAGATTATGGATTGTCTATTGATTTCAAGGTCTGGAATAGACTTGCTAATATGTCTCTTCATAGCGGTTGCCCTAGCTCAAGAAGCTTCATACGAGCATGTCCCGACTTTTGTCTTCATATCAGCCGCTGCCGGAGCTCCTATGGTTCCGGAAAGATACCTCACAACAAAGAGAGATGCCGAAGCTCTCATATCGTCTAATCTCTCTGACCTCCGCAGTATTTTCATGAGACCGACTTTCATGTATGATTCGTCACGTAAATTGACTCTGCCGATTGCGCTGGGCGGGATCATGGGTTCGGAAGTGAACGGGCTCCTTGGCGGAAGGCTCTCGTCCCTAGGAATGATGACCGCGAAGCCGCTGAACGTCAACATTGTAGGTGAAGCCGTGGTGGAGGCTATTGGTGACGACGATGTCCAGGGTGTCGTAGGACTCAAAAAGATTGAGACTCTAGCAACGAAAGGTTGGAGGCGATCGATGCTTTAAGCTTACTTAGATCATTACATCTCCTCGGAATTTGTGTCTGGGAGAGAGCGTGTTTTGTATATTATTTGAAAGGGAGATTTTTCTTCTCTTTACTCCCGGAGCTGTATAATAATAACAATGGGTATTCATCTAGCTTGTGCCGCTGTTCTCAAATCATGGTACCTCGTTCGAAACTGTCTCGAATCTCTGCAGTATACTAGATGATAAATGTAAGTACATGAAGCAACAGGAGCTGGATATGCATAATAGTCGTCTTCGGCTTACCTTGTTGTAAAATCTCGCCAGTTGTTGGTTGAACTTCTTATTTTGATCATTGATGTAAGTGACATCATCTTCCTCATCGCCACGGCCACGGTCCTTGCATTTCTTCAGGCGAATTTCTTCTGCCTTCCTCAAATCTGCCACCAACCTATCAACTGCAGCGCGATCTGGTTTATTCTCTGCGAAATCCACCGAATGGGCCGTGGAATAGAAAGTACCATTTTTATCAACAGCAACAAGCTCGCCGTCTTCTGCCTCTACTATCTGAAGTCTGCCACTTGCTGCAGCCTTTTCTACGGCAATAATCCTTTCCTTTTCGTATGCTTCAAGGTCTGGCTGCATCTGCCTGATTTGTCTCTTATAGATCTTCCGAGCATCTTGTCGATAGTCTTGGAATGCAGTGTCGTCTCTATGCCTCTGTTTCTTTTCCATGCGTTTATCCCATTTCTCGGATTCGTCGATGGTCCAGTCCCAAGCACGTTTTCGCTCAAAATCTTCGCCTTGGGCTTCAGTATCTGCCTTGAGAAGGTTATGCGACGCGAACGCATGTTTCCGAGATATACTGGAGAGAAGGCCAGGATCTGTCGCTAGTCGCTGCGACTCCGCGGCTGTTTCCTTCAAATTTCTCTCTGCAGCATTTTTCTATAATTTTGTCAGCAAATGAACATAAAATATTATGGTAGCATTATTGGGGAGGGACAGCTGGAGGCTTAATACTTACAGCTCTCGCTTGAAGCGCCTTGAAACGGTTTCTCATTTCTTCGGTCTTGGAGACAGCAGGATCCGCTACCTTGCTGTTTTCAGGTTCAGCAGATGAAGTCCTCGCAGCAGCATCTGATACGGGAGTCTCGTCAGGACATGCAGAAGAACTGCCATTCGCCTCACTGGTCTCATCTTTGGTGGTTCGCCGCCTTGTCAGTTTCGGGGTTCCGAGAATGTTTGTGACAGGACTTTGCTGTTTCTTTTGGTTTGTCATTGTTGCATGCAAAAAACACTGCTCCGTGCGTGGGCTATGCTAGATTATAGAAAGCTGGTTCTGATTGCTTTGGGTGTGAATCGATGGATGATTGCGGATGAGGTCGAAGTTGCAGTTATGGAGGGATGACTCAACAATAATTACAGCTAGTACTAATCAGGACCAGCTGTAACTTTCTGTCCGTAACGGTGTGACGGACGTTCCCGTGATGTAATTTATTATTCATCCGTTGGAATCGTCCTACCGTCCAATTTTATCTACGAGCTTTAACTACATAAAACCTTAGCAACTGGTACTCCGACAATGGCCGCATTCTCCTTATAGCTTCGGTTATTCAATTCCCCGGAGGAGAGCTCCTTATGTCGGGCTTCTCTGTTTGCCGATTATGGCTCCCACCGAAGCCCCAATTTTGTCGCTTCACTTCTAGCTACCAGGGCAAAGTGTCGTATGCTCGCCTCAAACTCGAACAGCGAAGGTCAATCCCGCGTCGAGAACCGTCAGCGTCACAGTTGCTCCGATTTGCGGTAACAGGGACTATAAAAGCGCCGAATAACCAGTACTCCTCCGAGACTCTCGAAAAGCATGTAGCAGCAGCGTTTGCCCAGCCCCAATTACCCGAGACCTGGACAATATTCAACTCATCCGCTGTACCGAATAACGTTTTTAACAAATCTACTCCCCCCGTTGACAGATTTGATCCAGTTTACTTCCAGAATGCTGCTGAACTGCAGAAAATACATGCCATATGTGAGAGGTATATAGCCTTTCCTTCGGTAATCCTTGAGTTGCAGCAAAACACTAAGGGCCTAGTGGGTGCTTTGAAGCACTGTGGTCAATATGAACCACCTGAGAAAATCCTAATAACTTTGAATGCCATTTTCGCAAGATTTGAGCTATTGAAGATACAAATACCGCAACATCTTCTGATCTTTGGCATGAAATTCGCTGCACAGCACTTTTCAGCTGCGGCTCTTCGATCCTACATCCAAAGTTACGTTGCCGGCAGGTATGATTCTCTACCTGCCCGTTCTGCTAGAGACGTCATCCGAAACCTCTATCTATGTTTTAAGTCGAGTGTGTGGGCGAGCCCTGCTGTTGACCTGGGTCCTATGCGAGAGGTCGTCACTGGCCTGGATGAGAAAGGGATGCCAATATCGTATCCGAGTCTTCTACCGTTACTCTTGAAATCTGACGGCTCTTCTCCGCATTATATCTACAGCCAGTACGTCCAGTTACTTGGCGTTATGGGGGACTCCAGAGGGTTGTTTGACTTCTGGCCTACATTTCAAGCGAGACTACAGAGCGATCCCTCCAACTCTTTGGTTCAATCGTTAATACCGCATTTCCTGATGGCCATTCTCAGGGCGGGATTCGGGAAACGAGCAGTAGAGTTTGCTAAGCAACTGTCGACGATTGCTGATCTAAACGATATTTTGTCTCCCTCACTTTGGAAGAAGTTGCTTCAACAGGATGATAGCGGAGCCTTGCAAAACGTTATTTCAAGTGAGAAGATGACCATGCTTTTGCATGAAGAATTGTCATCTATAGAAAGAAGACTTGGTATTACCTGGCATCCAGACGGTGGAGGACATCATGTCAGAACAGCTGATCTGGATTTATGGGCAGATCACTGGCTGGTGGGCGCTGAACAGTCTAGCCTTGATCCTAATCTAAACCTGTCAGGATTGTCGAGGGGCTCAGAGCGGCTCTTTGAAGAAATTCTTTTGCACGGATCTTCCAAGTCGCTGACGGAGCTTTCCATAATCGCTAATCTATTACACGATTTCGAGGGCTCTGAGATTCCAATTGGATCTAAACAGGATGAAGAAGGCAATGTTCACGAGTTTGTCTGGTGTCCTCAGTGCTCCCCTATTGAATTTTCCGGTTGTGCTTCATTTGACGAAACGCACGCACAATCACCCTCATCCTTGGGTCTAATTCGTGCTCTCCACTATCAGTACGGCGAACCAACGATGTTAAATGCCAGGAACTTGTATCTGATGCAATTGGGTTACCTCTGCGAACGGATCCGGGGCCCTGTAGAAGGAAGTGCTCACAGCGACACAGGGGAAACTGGAAGGTGGGTAAACACAGGCCATATTATTTGCTGGGAACGTTCGGAACGGCGCTTCATGATGATATATCTCGAAAAAGGTTTCGGAACGATTGATCCTGGTTTATATCCCCGAGATTCACATCCATACCTTCCTTCCGTCGCGATGATAAACTTGAATCGCGATTGTGATTATGGGACAGAGGTCTCTAAGAATCTTATTACGCCTTTGGAAGGCCGCTACTGGATGGAGGTTGACCCTGCAGTTTATTTTCAACCCTGAACAGGCTTGGGTGATTATATAGTTATTTCCTCGGTCGTGTCTCTCCATGGAATATTATCAGTCTGGTTTCTATTAGAAATTCCGAAGCGAAGACCACCCAGCAGGCTCATGCCTGCGCTTCACCGCTACCGTGATCGCAGTGCTCGTGATATTTTCCACTTGAATACCATCCAGTGGAAGATGCTGGGGGCTAAAAGTGAAAAGCTACTTGCACCTTGTTAGATATCGATATGGAAGTTCCTATCCCACACCCATATCGCTTCATACATCCTCACGTGCGAGTTAAGGGGTTGCTGTAAGTGTATGAGGAGAGCGATGTCAAAGAGAAACAGACAGCCGGGTTGAATCCTATCGTCAATTTCGTTTAAATTAACCACGAGCCAACAACTTCACAGGACTATGGACGTGTGACCACCGGAGTTCTGTTATGGAGCTACACGTTATAATATCGATCATGGGCGATAGGCGTCCTATCTTTGAGCATTTTGTGAGGTGTTTAATGTTGTCAAATCTTTAACTACATAGCCTTGTTTGTGCTATTACCCTAGCATGTTGTGTTTCTATCATGTTGATACACAAAAATCTGTGGTTAGCGATTTAATTCGCACTGTAAGATAGATTTTTTCTTTGATGTGATTCTTGATTTAGTGTTCGTTCCTACGCCTGCATTAACAACACTTCTACAATTTTGCGCCTTGTGTCCAACAAATGATTACGAGGTTTCTACTGTTCGAGTCTCGAAAAGCTGTGAACTATAATTTTTTCTGTCAGTTTGTTCCTTCGTTTCAAGTTTTAGCTCTTCTCTTTTCCTGAGGTATTTGAAATTTTACCAGCGAGTGCGTCAACCTCTGCTTCTATCAAACCACCAACCACAATCCGGAGCGTTCCTGCACCAATGCATGATCAATCCGCTGAGCTGCTACGATAGCCTTGATCTCATTTATTTCAGACCTAACTCCGTGGGTACTTTACCTGCCTTCCACTTCTTGGCTTTGAAAAAAAAAAAAAAAAGAAAAGAAAAGAAAAGAAAAGAAAAGAAAAAAGAAAAAGAAAAGAAAAAGAAAACAGGAGAGAGAGAGAGAGAGAGGCGGCAGGGATGTCCCATTCTGTGGAATGCTCTCCGCTCCGCTGCAACGACACACCTCCACCTTTCAATTGTCCGGTAAAAGTTCCAGAGAACTAACATTAAATCTGATACGTCAACTCCTGTTTGTCCATAACACAGGTGGCTGCTAGCCTACCAGGAAACATTCATAGACCGGAGTCAGATATTAACAATAGCTAAGTGAATCTGGATATAGGTTCTTTCAAAGGGCAGGGCAAGTTGTGCTCTACGACGTACAGAACTTTTGGGAAATACGACAGCGGCATCTTGACGCGAGATAGAGATGCCAAATACCGAATTTCAGTTCTCGTGTCCGCTGACTTCTGAATCTCGCTGAATGTGATTGTTAACTCTACAGAGCTCAGCGGCTTTCATGATAGCAGGTGTTTGGACAGAAGCAATGCCATAGCTAACGAACCAGCAACCAAGTCCAAACCCCAATCTCTATTCGAGATGTTCTCTTGTAGTCGTTGCACACGTCAAGTTTCGGCGTTGAGGCTCCCAAATCAAAGTCGGAGGACTAGCGAATGAAGTCAGGGACTTCACCGATTGCGCTCCCCTTTGTGTTGTCACGATTTGTTCAGACTGTATCGCCACGCTTTGCAGGAGGGTCGGCTCGCTACGGTGTAACAACCAGGAGTCGATGACTCGATGGTTGGTCAAAAGAAAGAAGAAAAGAAAAGAATGACCCTTCAAAGGCAAAGTTCAACCACGTTTGGCTAAATAGTTGGAAAATGGTTATGATTGACATACCCGCGGATACGTAACTAACTATACTCCGTAGTTAGTAAGGTTTTTGGAGGCAGACTTCAACAGAGATCATCCCCGCTCCCGAGCAAGCTGTCTAGGTTACATTGTTGTATTACCAGATGAAACACTCGGCTCATCTGTTTTGCCAGTCAAGGGATTGAAATAAACTTGCACGGAGAGAGACTCTTAACTTTAGATGAAATTGGCCCTTTTAAAGCCAAAATAGCGTCTTCCATGCGAAAGAAAGGCAACTGACTCGGGCCCTTTGGAGGCTATCGATCGAAATTATCCTTAACAACGGGAACAGGCAGACGGCAGATGATGCAGGCCAACAACAGACCGCTGAACGGTTTCCTCCCGTCTCTTGAACCAGGGTTCTAACAGCTTACACTCACATCGACCTTCGTTGGGCTTTTTCGCAGCTGAAGTCAGAGACCAACAACACACTAACCCAGACCCATAAGGATCACGTCCATGTCCAGAATACATCTCTCAATGCCGCTTCTGATGCCATGGATTATTTTTTTATAGTCACATTGTGTTCCACTTTTCAAGCTAGCTGCCAACTTTCGCTAGAAGATTTTGATCCGAAAACAAATATGTGCATCGAACCGAAGGCTTTCTTCATGGCTTCTCGCCGACAGGGAGGACGAAAAGTGCCTCGTGCATATCTCCAGGAATGCGCCTGTTCCATGCTCCCCTCCTTACAGTAGTTCAGCCAAATGAAAATAATGGCGCAACGGCCCACTGGGTTCGTGGAACAACAACACCCTGTCATCCCTGTCATCCCTGTTGCCCTGTATTTGTTTCTTCTTCTTTTTGAAGTTCCCTCATGGGCGCTCCCTCCAATCTAACCCCAGGAAACGATCAGGGTTTACCAAATCCTTCAGGCCATATCAATGCGCGGATTTGGCGGCAACGTCGGGTAGGATTCAATGCCAAATGCGCGAACGATCAGGCCACAATCCCTACCTGGGTACGTGGAGTGACGAGGTCTTCTACGGTGAGCTTCTGTCTGAAAAGAGGGAAAAGGAAAATGGACGAGGCTACGAACCCAGGCTCTAGGTTGAGTCAAACCTTCTCTGTGATATCTGTGCATATCTTACACACACCTAAGACAGAAGAGCCCAGCACAGGTTCCGTTTCTAGCGGAAGCCCAGCCTTCCAACTCGCACGCTCCTGTACGAAGTGGACGGAACGAGGGTCTTCGTAAGGATTTACATTTCCTACGTTTATTTTCTTTTCTCTTGGGTGATGTCGCCAAGGAAGTCAGGGGTTTCTTAAGTTATCAGGCGTCACCGTAAAAAGAGGACTGAATCTTGGTTTCTTGTCTATATATACCCGGCCTTCGCCCACGCTTTAGGGGTAGATTCATGGCCCGAACCGATATCTTATCCAGTGTAGGTGCTCCTGTACGCTTTAATAATTTACTAGCCACTCAACCACAGCAGCCGCAATCCAAATTCGGACACCTGCTGGAAGCGACTGGATCAACGTCATATCATCAACGAGCACATAAAACGAGGTGCAAGATAAAAGAGAATACGGATTTATCAGATGAAATTCAAGGACTGTGACTCGCTTTCGTTGTAGTCATCCATATCAGCGACTTGGTTCCAAAGGACGGATCCATCACGGCGCAGAATATCGAGGGATTAGAATCAATCAAGATAATCCACACAACCCCCCCACCCCAACTACCAATTCCCAAGCATCACATCGCGATTCAACATTCTCACACTTCCCACCTCCTTCAAATGCAAATTTCCCACATTCTGGGTATTTGCCAATGGATGCGCAGAGTCCGGACTACGCTTCAACAGCTGCGCCTTTAGGAGCTTCCTATTCAACCAATCCTCCGGTAGGGGAGAAGGCGCCATTAGATACACCATCCTTCACCTCAGAGCCAACGCATCTAATGTCGGAAGGTTCAACTGAGCACCCATATAGCGCTCCTTTTAAAAACAGGGGAGGAGCTGATTCTGGCAACCTGGAAAGCAAAGGAAAACTTCCAGAAAGTGGCAGAGATGATGATATAGAACGGTGAACCCTGTTACCACCGGCGTACCCGCCATAAGAGAGCATCCCCTTCTAATAATCAATTTGGAACCAATAGATTCACAGTTCGTCCCAGGACTCCGCCGCCAAATCAAGCACCAGGCACCGTTTCCCATTCCCGCGTATGCCTCTTCGTGCGCCAGCAACCTATAGCAGCTCGTGCCTGTAAACCTGGAGATAAATGCCGGCGACCCATCGATCCGATACCAATCATTCAGCTGTTGATGACCGATTTCTCTCCGGAGTCGATGGAAGACAAGATGCAACTTGCAAGCAATCAGTACATTGTTTCCTGCCACTTATCTCCAATCGCAAAGGAGCACGGGGGAGCTAATGAGAAGCATCCTTCCAAGCAAACTGACCGTGGGGAAATCAACGACCCTGACAGCAACTTGTCAGCTGGCAGGACACTAAGCGGCAACTGTCATGCAGGTCCATTTTCTGTCAAAGAAGATCCCGATCCAACCAATGCGCCTCCCCACCCTCGATCAGCACCAAATCAAGCAATAAACTCGGCTTCTGTCCTTAGACAAACCTCAGGTCGTTTGCAATCTCCCAACCCGCCGGCATCTATGCCTGCGACCTTTTTCATTTTTCCCGACCTTTCCATTTGCAAGGTAGGCCGTTATCGGCTACGGTTTCAGCTCATGGATGTCCATGAAGCTTTGCGATTGGGGTGTTCTCCAATCCTTCACGAAGTTTATTCTGAGCCTTTTCAGGTGTTTCATGCGAGGGACTTTCCCGGTCTGCAGCCAACACCCTTATTGACAGCGAGATTGAGGTCCTTGGGTGCTGTGGGAATTAACGCGTGAGAGACAATTCGGGGATCACAGCAAGGGAAGGACACGGACAGCGCCAGCGACGATGATATCGAAGACTAGACACCCTGCAGAACTCCCACCATGGGCCTTGTTTTGGATTGATCGTCGGTGAGAATACATCGGGTTTCGAAAACTGAGAATGGACGGATGCAAAGGATTATTGGAGTCAAAATTCCCTGTCATATTTTATTATCTACGTTTTCTGTGGCGGGAAGATCTTATATATATGCCACTTGGGATATATTTCAACTAAATTACTTCTGTTAGTTTGATTGGCAAGCTCCAATGTTAAGCCCTAGTGGTTAATGAAAGACAACTGTACCTGCTAAATCTTATTGAGCATCTCGTCAGTTGCCCCAAACCGAAATGTCAGGGGTAACATAATAAAAATACCCATTCGTTGGTAGATCATTCCGGAACCGTGGAGGGAAAGGAAGACTTCATGATAGACCTAGTTGGTCAATCAAACCTTGTAAATTGTTTGCTTAAGATCTCTTGCTCAATATTCAATTTGAAGGTCTTGTCCTGATATATGAGTCGCACTTCTTTCGCCCTGGACGCAGAATTTTCGTCCTCCTCTGCAATCTTTAGATACCGCAATCCTTTGTGGGGTTTTTCCGCCTCGCGCAGGAGAGTGGCCATGATGAGGGCAGAGGGGCCCCAACCACCTGTGCTAGCGATTTCAAGCCAGTCTATCGCATTCTGGAGAAGTTCCCTATTGGTGTACTTTCTAGCAACAAGATCCTTGGGGCACACACCTTGCCCTTTCGAAGGCCCGGGGAGCTTGTCTCGTCCTTTCCCGTCATAATAAAGCTCCAAATAAAATGATCCAAGCTCATGACATGCCTCAGCATCACAATCCATGGCAGCCTTGGTCATATATTCTTCATATTTGTCTAGGTGGCCTTCTTCAGCGACGATATTGGCGAGGAATTTGAAGGCTGTAGGATGGTCTAATTTAAAGGCACCCATTTCCACGGCCTCCCGAATGCCTTGCTTATCCCCCGTTGTCGCTTTCACGGAGGCATACATCTCCCAAGCTTGGGGGATACCGAGAACACTGTACGGGTCTTCATCTAGACTGTTTGTTTTCCTCCCAGTCGGCACAGATATCTCCATTGCCGCTGTGAAAAGAACGAGTGCTTCCTGGGTGCGATTATGCCTCTCGTGTAGAATTTGTCCGTAGAGCACCATTGCATCAACTAGATGCCTCTGAGCGAAATATTCCAGGTAATCAATCAAAACCGTCCTCTTGATGGGGCCAGCAGCGAATTGTTTGTTGACAATGTAGAGGACAGCAAACGGCTCCTTGGACTCTGCTAGCCTATGCAACCACCATTCCGCTACGGCTCGATAATCGGGATGTTTGGAGAGAATAAATGCAATTCTAGATAGTATAGTTAGATCTGCAAAGTGGATTAGCCAGTGGATTAACGGGTATTTGAGCAGAGTACTCGATGTCGATTCACCTGTTTCTTGATTTAATACATCGTTCCCATGCCTTGCACCACGCGTTGCTGCGATTCTTATGAGATTTCCAGCGACTGACATTGCCAAGTCTAACTTTTCGGGCACGGCAGTTGGCATTGCGAATTCAAATAGCGAACGGGGAAGTTTGTTAACCAAAGATTCCGCTTCCTCCATTGTTAACCTGATGGTGCCAGACCCCGGTCGCAAAATGGATTCACACCTAAGTTTCCCCATCATTTTTTGGGTCGAAGGTGCTCTCATAGCTGTACGTGAAGAGGAAACACGGAATTGTTTGGCGGCAATTGTTGAGAGAGGGGACATGTGCCGCATACATCGCAAAGAGTACATTATATCTAGCTAAACTTTGGATATAAGGACACACAGGGAGAGTGTGAAGAGAAAACCTGAACTCGCCTATAGATATTCATAGAAGTGAAATGTCAAAAGAAGCAGAAACAGAAGCACAGCCGAGAATAGCCCAGAGGAACGCGCTTCATTCCATGAGGACCAGACGAAAAACGGACATAGCAGGTTATCGTGATGCTGAGTAAGCAGATGCTGCCGGTTACTGGTAAAATGTTCAACTGTAGCTTGCGAAGGAGTAGTTCATACAGAGTTAGCGACCAAGGCTGGGGCTGCGCCGGAAAGTCACAAAGTTGGCTCAAAGCTGTTAACGTTCTCTATTAGTTAACTACGAGGCTAATAGCACTTAGATTGCAGAGAATTGCCGTGCGTTCGCTGCTGCTGCTCAAGACAATAAAAAGTTGGCCCTTGCAGCACCAGTTGAGCTTGATTCTGTCCCTTTGGAACCGACAGCTGACAACATGCAGCTTGATCGACCGATTGCCGGGAAAAAAAGGAAAATAAAAAAAGAGAGAACAACAATAATAATGAATCCCGTGACCAAAATGATAATGTACAACATACTGCCTCTACACTCATACACATCAAGAGCCGAGTCGAGCAACCCGTCCCTCCTTCCAATCACGCAGCCAGCAAGATTCTATTCCACCCGTTTAAACTCCAGGAGATAGATTAGATGATAGCGAAAACAAGCGGAAAGAAAGGCTCGGGGAACCATCGAGCGAAAAAGAAGAAGAAGAGGAAAAAAATAAAAAATAAATAAATAAATAAAAGATCATTCCATGACAACCTTGGCCCCCAAATCCTTCATCGTCTTAACAATCTTCTCAGCCTGTTCCTTGGGCACAGACTCCTTCATCACCTTCGGGGCACTTTCCACGAATTTCTTGCTGTCAACCAAGCTCAGGCTCAGCAGCGACTTAATCTCCTTAATGACCTTAGGCTTCGAGGCCGCGTCAAAAGACTCCAGTTTCAAGTTAAATAGCGTCTTCTCCTGGGCGGCTGGGGCGGCGTCCTCCTCTTCCACGGCGGCAGCCGGGGCGGCTCCACCAGCTGCTGTTCCAGCTGCAGGTCCAGCTGCAAAACTGCCAATTGGTAGATCGGGGATGTTAAGACGAGACTAGATAGAATTGGCATCATGGTCAGATATTTTTATTTGAATGTTTCACTTTAAAAAGCTCCCCAATTCCGCGGGAACTTTAATCCCAGACGGGTGGATATATGCATCACCATCCACGCAATGCAATGCGTCTACCTCCCACTCCATAATGGCATCACGGAAATGGGGCTTTAGCGTGGAAAGGGACGTTGTGACTGGATCAATTGAACCAACCTTCAAGGTCGAGACCAAATCGGCAGTTTCAAGCAATGTCAATTGACTTATTTGGTCCACAATCTGTGTAATTTTCGGATTCGTAGGAGGCTCCGCAGCGGCCTGGGTGGATTGCCATCGTCTTGTTCCAACAGCCGCGGGTGCTATCCGCTTGGATTGAGAGAGGTATGTGTGCGAGGAGAGACGGAGGGACGGGGATTGGCGGAGGACGTTGCAGCACAATCGCGCTGCGGATTGCGAAGGCAATGACATGGCTGCTGAGGTATAGAGGCTCTAAGTGGCCAGTATCAGGCAGCCGTCAGAGGAAGAAGTATGAAGAATAGAACGAGGAAATTGAGCCGGTTCTTTTTTTGGTTTCACAAAGCTTGAATTCAGTTCGACGTTGAAAATTCCAGACAGTGATGGCACGTGATGTGAATGTATTGTTGCCGTTTTGATACGGTCCGTCATTACATGCCATTTAAATACGGCTTCCGTTGAAGTTTTTCCGATCCGTCTCCGCTTCTGTCTCTGTCTTACTAACGTAGTTAACGTGAGTTAATCAACGATGTCCTCGCCTCCCAACCGCTCCATGAACCCAACACCGGCCAGCTACGGCGAATGGAAGGGGGATAACTACTGTTGCGAAGGGCAGAGGATGAACTGCGTGAAGAGGTCGTCTCGATCCCTCTTTGTCTCAGCGTCCGCTTTCGAGTGTTTCGTCTACTGCGCGTCGAAACACCGTCGTTCAACTTTAGACCTTTCCAATGCCAGCTATCATTGTTGTGCCGCTTTCCCCATGCAAGCGATGGAGTCACGTATGCGCCGTGCTCGTTCCTCAAATACTCCATAAGTAATTTAATAATTAAATTATTCACAGGCTTGTGCAGTGCAGTGGGGAAAAAACGGAACCGTCTATTTGCAAATCGAAGAAGCACGGACTTCGCGGAAAATCACACAGCATATATAAAGGTGAAAGCCATAAGCTTTGAACAGGCTTCCTTTTCTTGTTATTTTATTTATATTACCTTTGTTATTTGCACAATGTGTCATCTGATCATTTCTTCGGGGTCATTTTGGTCTCTTTTACGACTTTCACGAATATGACACGCCCATGACTCTTTTGTATTTGCAAAGGAAGAGCATGGACTACTTTGTTTTGGCCTCATTGGTGCTAAAGATGCGAAAATCAAATACTGGGCGTTGGAAAACTTGTGCCTTTGAACTAGCACTCAGCAGCCCAGAGTATGATACCAAATGTATTTATTTTATTCGCGAATGGCAAAATAATCACCTTATTTAAGCATCGTGCAGACAGATGTGCTCAATGAAATTAAAAATACATAATATACCTACCCCAATCCAAAACCACCAGAGTCTCCCTTTTATCCATCCCCTTCTTCCAGAACAAGGAGCGAAGAAAGAGGTGTCAGAAAAAGGAAATCTTCCATTCAAATTAATCTCTAAATTGCAAGAAGTAAAAAGAGAACCAATTTTGTCATTGTCACTCAACTATACAACCACAAACAACCATCAACCCCCTTTCAAAAAAAAAAAAAAAAAAAAAAAAAAAAAGGGGGGCATTCCGCTCACTCACCCCCATCAATCTTCATCCCAATTAGGATTCTGCCCCGGCGGTTTCGGGCCCCCCGCCTGCCTCGCCACAATAATCTGATCAACCGACAACACCGTCCGCGCCGCCTCCGTCGCCAACCTAATAGCCCACGCCTTGGAAGCGAGTAGATCCAATATCCCCTCCTCGACCGCATCGATCGTTCCCGCAGCGGAAGATGCCTGCAAATCAACGCCGGTAGTCCAATATGGCTCCTCATCCTCAGACAAGCTGGCGTTTTCGGACTCTTCCTCTTCCTCTCCTTCTTCCTCCTCCTCTTCTTCATCCTCCCCACCCACAGCATGGTTAACGGCCTGTTGTTTCTTGTTTCCCCCTGTTGATCGACGCTGCTGATGTGCCGTGTACAGACGCGATAGAACCTCCGTAGCATCCAGCCCGGCAGACTCCGCCAGCGTGCGCGGGATAACTTCAAATGCCTCCGCGAATTTACGGATGGCATACTGCGGGAGACCGGGCGTCTTATCCGCAATGGAAGACACGCGTTCGACGAGCTGGAGCTCCGTGGCACCCGCTCCAGGCACCAGGCGCGGATCCTTAGTCACGGCCTTAATGACATTGACGCCATCGTCGATGGCGCGCTCGACGTCATCGAGGTGGTTCTGCGTCGCGCCGCGCAGGACGATGGTGGCTGTTCGCGTGACGGCGCCTGCATCCTCCTGCCTGAAGACCGTGACGCGATCACCGCCTATCTCGAGCGTTTCGACGACGTCGATGGAGCCCATTTCGTCGGGCATGGGGGCACCGAGGCGGGCGAGGGGCGTGGCGCCGACGACGCGGCAGAGGCGGCGTAGTTCGAATTTGGAGAGGATCTTGATGACAAGGATGTTGAAGCGGTTTAGGTAATGCATTGCTAGCTCGCCGACGGTAGAGCCGGCGACAACAACGCGGATGCCGGAGTCGTAGAGTTCTTTGATAGTGGCTTCGAGACGGGCTTCTTCACCCTTGGTGTAGTCTAGCATTTCCTGGGCGTTGTGGAGGAGGACTGTGCCCTTGGTTTCTGTCTGGGATATGTCGATGGGACAGCTGAAGACGCCAACTTTGGCCTTATTGGCCTTTTTAATGGTTCCGTCCGGTTCACGGCCGAAAACCATGCCCTTGACGACTCGGGATTGATCTAGGCTGCCGCCCATGATCTTGACGACGCGCACATTATCGACGTTGAAGTTAGAGGGATTTTTCGGGAGGACTGTCAGGACGGCCTCTGCGACAAGCGGGGCTAGGATATCTTCTGAGCCGGACTGTTTGCTCCCAATGACAGTTCTAATTGCCTTGCTCAACTCTGATGTAGATCGTAGTTCCTTGAGCCTATCCACCTCGAGGTCTGCATATAACAACACAATCAGCCACAATTCGCCATGCCATGACATATATATATATATATATATGAAATGTAATAAACTCACCATCCAAACACTTCAACGCAAGCCCTTGCGCCTTCTCATAACCCAGCACAATATCGCTCGTTTTCAACCCCATCCTCAGCAGCTCCTCCGCCTTCTTCAGCAACTCGCCCGTAAGCACAATAACCAAATTCGTCGCGTCGCCCATCTCGGCCTCTTGCTGCTGGCTAGCCATGACAACCAGTTTGGCCGCGGGGTGGACAACCTCGAGCTCGCGCAGGATGGTGGCGGCGTCCGATGTTAGGGTCAACTTTTGCAGGTGGTTGATGATGATTTTGTTGCGGCCGTTGGGGCCCAAGGATGTCTGTACTGTTTGCGCGATGGAGCGGCATGCTTCGATATTGCGGAGCACGGCGCCGTCTTCGGCGTCATGGCTGTTTTGGGAGGGGGGTGGACAGTTAGCAGGTTGGATGTTTCGGGTACTTTTTATATTGAGATTTGAATGCTTGATATGAGGGAAATTTTCCTGTTGGAGGACAAGGGATGATGGGGGAAATGAGAGGAATTAGGAGAAGTTATAGGCAATAGGTAAGTATACAGGAATAAGAGGATACATGCATGGGTTTAGTGAGATATCAACATATCACCATCTAGTGGAGATCCTGGCAGGGGAGAAGCAGTGGGTAGCCCCTCAAAAGTAGAATTGCATACCTTGTATAGCCCTGTTTGAACAGCCCAGCATTTGGGGCGCTGGGAATTGACAACGACATGGCTGCAGGTGATCTCTTCCTCGGTTGGTCTCCGGGTGGGAGAGGAAGAGGTGTCTCGTGTAGACAGAGTCTGAGATATCGAGACGGATGCTGCTGTGTGCCGGCTGTGGGTGTTAACTTTTGTCTCCTGAGTCTAATTCGTGAAGCTTCCAACGGCGGGTGTCTGCGCTGTTTGCTCTGTTTGCACCAGGTATCGATACGGCAGAATAATACGGTCAATAGAGAGCACTTCGGAGGAGTATTACGGTATCAAATACGCAAATAGTTATAGGGATGGGACACTGCATATGGCTTCTTGTAATGGTTGCTGAACAGAATTGCATCGCGAATCCATGAACAGCATATATATGTTTATTTCACTCTATAAAATATAATATAAGTCAGTTACTGCGGTATATCTACCAGAACGAGTTAAATGCCTGTCCAAAGCTATCGGCTACACGCAGAAAAATGTCAGTCAGTTCTCCTGTCCAAAACCTGGATGAGATTCAGGGGCTACTCTATATTCAGGCAACAATGACCTACCGTATCGCCCCGTCACCCCGCAACCGCTATCATCATACACTAGATCTGCTTCTGGGAGCCTGGAAGAGTAATGTTAGCATATTCATACTCTCCAAAAATAAATAAATAAACAGATAATAGTATAGAGGCCCCTTCTTACAGCCGCTGAATAGCCTTCATCCGTCTCCCGCTCTGCATACAGCTCCATTAGTATATATATGTCCATTAAAAAGAGCTGATACGCAAACTCACCGAAGGATGCGTCGATAATATCTGCGGAGGCTCTCCCTTTTCGGCTTGCTGCATCCGGCTCCATCTGGAGTGGGAAAAAACCTTGTCAGCATGGAAAATTCCAGCAAGTGAGATTCAAGGAGAAGAGAGATGTGGGACAACATACAATGCAGTAGCAGCCTCGGGCTTAAAACAGCTCTTCGCCATCATCACTGCCATAACGCTCATGATTAGAAATGTCTACCACACTGCAAAACTATTCATGGATGGATCAGGACTTACTCAAACCAATTTGATCCGCCTCCAACTATTTTCGTCAATAGTAATATATTAGCAAGGATAACTGGGAACCACAAACATAGAACCTAGCGCCCCCCCCCCCCCCCTTCCTCCCTTTTTCCTTCACAGTGCCAGGAATACCTAGAGGTCAAATGATACAAAAATTGAGGGCGAATAAAACTCACTTCCTGCGCCCTAGAATTGGGCAGAGAAAGAATCAGATTAAAAATAGCCGACGTGAAGTTTTCTGACACCTCAAAGAGCTTCGATACCACGATCGCCGCAACAACCACAACAATTTTGGAGCTAAGGCGCTCCGCCATATGATGTGCGAGGACATGCGCAATCTCATGGCCCAATATGGCAGCGAGACCATCTCGATCACGACATATAGGCAGGACACCAGTAAAGACAAATACGTTGCCTCTGCAGTACATACAAGGTGAGCAGATTGGGATGGTGAAAAAAGAAAAGAAAAGAAAAGAAAAAGAAAAAGGCCAACAAGGAAAAAAGGGTTATACGGATAGTGAAAAAGGGGGGGGAGATGAACATACCCCGGCAATACAAACGCATTCATCTCCGGCGAATCAATAACATGTACTTTCCAATTCAGCCTCTTCAGCGTCTCATCCCCCTCGCCTAGCTGTGGATAGCCCGTCAGAAACAGCTTGCGAAAAACGCTGTCAACATATCTAACCAGCGGATGCGAGTCCGGCAGGAGACGCCCATGGTATTCCTGCACAATCATTTCGTAGGCTTGCTTGCCGTATTGCATTTCAAATTCGTTGGAGATGCAGTTGAAGCGGAGGCGACCGGTCATCTAGATTTATATAAAAAGAAATATAAAATGAGCACATCTTTTCGCTCAAATTTGAAATAGCAATTCTTGATTCGAGATGGTGGAAGAAGCCATGAAGGACTGTGTGTGTGGGAGAGACTGAGAAAGAAAAGAGAGTGTACATAAAAAAAACACTCACTCACAGGCACAACTTCCAGATTCCACACGTAAAACACCACCATCACGGATCCCCCGCATATAATCACCAATCTATGCTGCTCCCAGATGTTCATTAACTGGTAATACAACCACCCTCTTCTTCCGCCACCTCCACCGCCACCATATCCATATCCATATCCTCCCCGCCCATCAAATGTCCGATACGTATATCCATCCCCGCCATGTCGTCGCTGTTGCTGTTGACCGTGCCATTGCGAGAACGGTCGACAGTGCTGTTGTTGCTGTGGTCGCTGGAGGTTTGCGTGTATTTGGAAGCGGAGAAACGTGTCGCTGTTTAAGGGATGATGTGTGCTGCTGCGATAAAAATAGACTGGAAATGCCGGGCCTGTACGTTGACGATCGAGGCTATGACGGAGAGTGTTCAATGAGCGCTCCCGTGGTGAGGAGAAGGCGTGAGAGTGAACACACAGCTGTCGGGAATGCGTAGCGGGTATGGAGAGCGGAGCGGGGGTGGAACCAGCGGTGGATATGAGAGCGAGGGCGGGAGCTGCAGGGGACGTTGGAGCGGAGGACGACCACCGGCGCAAACTCCACGTAGCGAAATTCGCCCGGGTATCACCCACAAACGCCTTCTTCAGGTTACCGGTACATATAGAAATTCTTACAGAAGGAGATTGGCGGAATAAGGATCGCGAGAGAATCGTAACAGCGCTGCCAGAGCCTCTTCCACACGACATTGTTCTTGTTTGGCAATGGAGGTTGGTGTCTGGGGAGCATGTAGAGGATAGTTCTCCCTAATTTGCATCCTCACGTGAAAGAGGTTTGCTGGGAGATGGGTACGTTATAACTTTGCCCGCGCGGGTCGCACGTCTGATTTGGGAGCACCTGGAGCTGTTGGGGAGTTGTTGTCTGATGTGAGTCGGACTGCTGTAGCTACGGACAGCGGCTGTGTTTGCTGCAGGCTAACTATGAATTGCTCTGCTATGTATGTAACGTCATCAACACGCAAAAAGTCATCGAAGCTCTTGTTCTTTTTCTCCAAATCTACTCCACGCCTCAAGTCTATAATAAATTAATTTATATTTTTTTTGCACTCAGGAGGATTTCAGATATACCCGAAACCGACCTAATTAGTTTAGAGAGACAATTCCATGCGGGGAAAAACAATCAGCAACCGTAGGATCAGCCAACTTGAATACAAAAATCACCCTAGACAATTCAAACAGATAATAAAACAAAAGCAAAAGAAGGAGGGGAAATCTCAGCCATTTCGTGGGGCCGTCAAATGAAACAATTCTTTGTTGTCTTCTCCTCTTTTTTTGTGGCTACTCTGCAGTAGAAATCCACGCGCACAAAATGATACATACAAAACATAGCCAAATTGAGAGGATATCCAAATAAAAATATATAAAAAAGAAGAGCACACCGTTCTTCGAAGGAAGCGGGGAGAGAAAAGGAAACAAATACAGAAAACTGAAAAGTAGCATCAAATGACATTTGCTTTCCTGCTTGCGCAGACACATCCTTGGAATATCCGCCCGATACCAATAAAATCCTTTTCAAAATCCAAGCAAAATATATGTATGCATATGTGTATGTATATGAGAGGAAGAGAAATTCAAAGATATCACTCGGAGAAAACAAGGAAGAGGAAAGGCAGGAAACGGGAGATAAAATAAGCGGAGGGGTTATGATACATATGAAAGAATGAAAGAAAAGAAAAAGAAAAAGAAAAAGAAAAGGGAAAATATAAAAAAATAAAAGGAAAAAATTATCAAGAAATGAGAATATTTTCTGTGCATGTGCATAAATAGGGGTCATGAGGTGAAGCGCATGGAAACGGGAAAAGGGAAAAGGGGGTTATGTATCCAAAAAGAGAGAAAGAAACGAAGAGGCCATCTCAACAACAAAAACATAAACATCAACATCAAATGCCAAACGGGTAGGAAACTGGGTTAAAAAATGAGCAAAAACGAGCATAAAAATCAAAATCAAATCGATCGATCGATCGATCCAAAAAAAAAAAAACCCCAAAAGCAAGCAAAAAGTCTATACACCTCCCCCCCTCTTACTCCTCTGCCACAACCCCCTCCCCAACAGCCCCTCCAACACCCCCCTCCCTCTCCCTCCACTCCCTCGACCTCTCCGTCATCCGCCTAACACCCTCAACCCTCTCGGCCCAATGCGCCTCCGATGGCGTGCGGAACGTACACCCCCTCTGTGATGAAATGACACCAATAGCCTGCAGCACCGCCTTGCGCGAATCCCGTCCAAAGACCGCGGGGTGGTTTATCCATTCGAGAGCAGTGTCGAGGTCAGTGTCAAGGGCTATTAGAAGTGTGGGGTCGATGGCGTGCGGGTGGGGGTGGGAGGGGGTCGGGGTTATGGTGGCGGACGATGAGGGGGGAGACGGGGACGGGGTTGAGGTTGAGGTGGAGGTGGAGGTGGAGGTTGAGGCAGAGGTGGAGGAGTGAGGGGGCGGTGGGGGGATGGAGGAGGCGCGTGGGGATGGGGAGGTTGAAGGGCGCGGGGAGGGCGGGTTCGTACTCGTGCTGCCGGTGGTTGTGCCGGTGGGGTCTGTTGACGCTTCAGATGCGGCGTTCGCGGTACCACTATTGGTATTGCTATTGTTACCACTTTGCTTATTAGAACCCTGCGGCAAAGGCGGTAACCCCCCCTTCCCCAAACCCTTAAGAATACTCCTCGTCTCCGTCAGCAGATGCTGCGCCCTCTCCTGCTGCGAGCGGGATACAAGCGTCAGGGCACGTGAAAGCATGTCCGATGTCAACAACTCCATGCGCCGCTGCACGATTGACGGGTGTGGTGGGATTGGGGGTGTGGCCGGGCGTCCAGATCCCAATATCGATTTCCGCTGAGAGGGTGAGAGCATAGTAATGGCGAGCAATGAAGGGCGGGGGGAGTGTGTTAAGTGGCCGTCGCGCAAGATATCGCCGTATGTCAGGTCGGCTTGAAGTAGGGGCACTTCTTCGACAGAGATGGTTCGTTGGTCGTCGCTGTCAATCGGGCCGGAGAGGGCTTCTAGGCCTGAGACGATGGATTCCCAGGGATCTTGCGGGAGGTGTTCTTGGGTTGTTGTGTCAGGGGCTATGACGAGTTGGACGAGGATGTCTAAATTAAGGCAGTTAGAGCAGTGCGCTGTGTATTGTGAAAGGAATCCAGAGTATATTTCTCCCCTTCCCCATTTTCCTTTTGGCTTACCTCGCTTATCCCCAAACCTCAAATCCCCTAACGCAGCCTCCGCATCCCTCCCCGCTGCACGCTTAGTCGTATGCAGAGCCCCGCTAATCTTCACAAACTTCGCCGGCGAACCCTCAGGAAGCCGCAGCTTCAACTTCGCATTTTGATGAGACGTGCTCTGCAGCAACCCGAGACATCCCGCCACACACTCACGGAGCATCATCCAGTCCTTGACGTATGTGTACGACGCCTTCGTGCGGCTTGATAGCTCAATCATTGTATCTGGCTTGTGTGTCAGACCCAAGCCGAAAGAGTGGATTCCGACTCTGCGAAATATGTCAGTACAGAACAGCACATCAATGTAGCTATGGGATGTGTTATGAGTGTATAGGGCCAAAACAAAACACTAACTTCGCCGCCTCAGCCCTCGAAACCACAAAATCCACACTCTCCCCTTCCCCCATCGACGAATCGCTAATCAACAAGATCGTCGCTATTGGGTTACTCGATCGCCTCTGCATAAGCAAATCCATCGCCACATTGGCCCCCTCAACTACATCCGCACGCAAACTCTTCTGCCCGACCGGTCTAATAGCTCCCAATATAGCTGGCCACCCACCCCACGTCTTCGTCGTCATGCCTACGAGCGGTACGCCGCCGCCGCTAGAACCGAAGGTTACAAGACCCATCCGATCGCGAGGGCCGAGGTTGGCGACGAGGAAGCGCAGGGTGTCGCGGAGGAGGGATATTTTTAGACCCTGCATGGATGAAGAGACGGGGATGACGACGACGAGGTCGAGGGGGATGTGGAAGGTTGGCGGGATGGTGCTTGTTGTTGAGATGGTAGTGACGTCGCGGATGGAATTTGTGTAGTCTGTTAGGGCGGTATTGTTGGATCTGGTGCCGCCGCCGTAGGAAGAAGTGGTGGAAGAGACACGCTTGATGGTTTGGTGCGTGCGGTAGTCGTCTTCTTCGGTGCCGGAGTTGTCGAGGTCGTAGTTGTAGTCTTGGTTGTGGTTACGAGGAAGGGCGAGTGAGCGGTCTGCGTCGGGATTGTGCAGGTCTAGGAGGGCGCGTCGCCATAGCTCAAGTTGATTGCGGGATTGGAATTGGAGGTGGAAGCAGGGGAGTTCGGCGACGGAGAGATTTAGGGTTAGGATTGGTTCCTCTGTTAGAGGTTAGTGCAATCAATAACAAGCAAGTAATTTAGGGGCAGTTTAAGGGGGGAATTCACCTGGCACAGAATCTACATCTTTCAAATGCTTCTTGATAAGAATTGATCCCTTAAGCGTACACCTCGTCAGCTTCCGCTTCGTCCTGGGATCCTCAAACTGATTCTGCCCATTCTTCTTCTCCTTGACGCAAATAAGCATCTCTGCGAACAGATAGCATTCCAGCTCCTGCCATGACGCACGATCCTTACCCACACGAACCGCCCCGTGCAACTTGAGTTTTCCAAACCTGTAAATTGGATCAGCGAGGGGTTATTCAGTATATAGAATGGAAAAGAAAAAGAGAAGAAAGAAAGAAAGAAAGAAAGCAGAGAAGAGAAATCTTGTGCACAGTCATCCTCACCTCTGAAAATCCAACCCATGCCAATTCTCAACCTTAACCCTCAACTGCTCCGTAATCTCCTCCAACACCTCCGGTGCCTCATAATGAACCGGCAACCCTCGCGCCCCCTGCTTATTAGCATTCCCACTCACCCCACCACTACCATCACCATTCCCACCAACCTCCTCCTCCCCCCTCCCAACACCAACCCCCATATTCAAATTCCCACCACCATTCCCGTTTCCCTCCTCCCCATACCCACCGAAAATCCCACCATAACCCCCCCAATCCGGCCCCGGCACCTCAACCGTAACCAAACATGTTAGCGCCTGCTGCGTCCTCGACCGACAAATAGTCGGAAACTCACTACGAACCGTCACCGTCGGCGCGGGAATAGGATTCTTCACGCCCACCCCCTGCGTGATGGACAGTGATGTCGTTCCGGGCCGCGGGCTGAGATTCAGCAGGTCCGACTCCATGGCTTGGACGTCATAGTCGTGGCGGCGGCCGGTTGTGTTGTCGGCATTATTATGGCTGCTGTGGTGGGGGTGGTGAATGTTGTTGTAGGAATCTGGTCCGGAGGTGCCGCTATCTGAGCGGGAGTGCGGGTGGCGGGAGGTGGAGGGGGTTCGTAGGCGTTCGATGCGCTCGCGTTGGCTGTTTGTGTCGCGGCTGTGGCGGCGGTTATGGTGAATGGCTAGCTGGGGGTTGTGGAGGTTGTCATGGTGGTGGAGGGTGTCGAGGGGCCGGTTGCCGGAGGTCCCGTTAATGTCCCAAGGGGTAGGGGTATTTTGGTTACCGCGGTGTGTTGAGGAGTCGCTGACGGAGACGGAGCGGACGATGTTGGAGAGTTTTTCTGATGGTTCGTTAGTTATATCTGATCATTGTTTTTTCTCTCTCTCTCTTTTTTTTT